CAGTAAATAGCGTTGGTTTGTTAAGGTAACAGTGTTTGTGAAAATCACTCCTATTTCAAAGTCGTCACACTGGGAATTATCTTGGCAGTGTTTGTGTTTATGCTCTGAGATCATTAGAGGGACTTCAAAAGGTCAATGTCCCTCAATTCAAAGAATAGAAAAAAAAGCACTCGTGCGTTCAGAGAGAGAGAGAGAGACAAAGAGAGTGACAGAGAAAGAGAGACCGACAGAGAAAGAGACACAGTAAGAGACGCCTCAGTCAGCTGATGCTGAAGCTAACTAATCAGGCTCCCATCAGCACCGATACAAAACATCACAGAATAAAAGTAATGAAATGCAGTTACGAAACATATATATTTGAGTTCAGTTTTCTCCAAATATGTTTGAATTTGACTCCTGTGAGCATAAGAAATGTAAGAAAATTGAAAGGATGAGTTAAACTTGGATTTAGGAATACACAGTTAGGAGCATTTGGTCAGAGGTTAGCAGGAATACTAAAACATGGAGCTTTTGTAAGATTCCACACAAGCATCCTGGCACATTGCGCCCTCAAGAAACAATGGCGGAAATAGTATAGTCAACACTCCCTCTGTCAATGTTTATAATTATTTTCCTCAGACTTCCTGCTGTTCTCTATACTGATTTGAATCTTCTGTGTCACAAATCACATTTTATGGTATCCAACAGTGCACATAAAGCAGCAACTAGACTGTTTTAGGGGCCTGATGAGGGTCCCGCTGTTGGCACAGTCAAAAAGAAATGAGGACACCGAGGACATGAAACAGGAAACAGTCCACACTTCCTCAGACAGGATACTGTGCTCCTCTGAGAGGCATCCTGGAATCTAATGCCTCAAAGACTTTACCAAGTGTTTCACACAAACACACTTCTTTTCCTTTGACACATTAATGCATTGTAGAGAGGAAGATCACACAAAGTAAGACGACGAGAGGAAAGCTCAGCAAAAACCGAGCATGACTGAAAGGCCAAGGCCATGAGGTCGGTCAACATCAGGTTTGGAAACACTGTGATGAAGATCAAATTGTGAGGAAGTTTGATTGCTTTGAACAATCACTTGCATGTAAAACAACAAAGCATATAAAAAAGGTTTACAGCAAACCTCCCTTTCTACTTCTACTCCACAACATTTCAGAAGGATATATTGCACTTTTAAAGACTACATTGCTTCTAAAGACTTTACAGTACATAAGAAATCTACAGTACGAAACATGAGGAACTTAAAAGGTTCAATACAATGCTTTACATTGAACTACCCATCCCTTTATAAAGTACCTACAACTCATGAAAACCAATACAATGCTCATGTGCTATTTTTATATTGTTCACTTGCTGATCAACAGCAACCAGCAAGTGCAATTATTAAAATAATATTGTAAGAGATTTAACAAGCATATATGCTCAAACTTCCTTGGTTCTTGACTATTCCCTGGTGAATAGTTGGTTATTGTATTGGCCTGTTATGATAGTAGACTTAATATGTTTCAGGTTGGACTCTTAGTTAAAAATGTTATGTTAACTAGTAGTATTTAATTAATTGAATAAAAATAAAAGCAGCCATAATGTGACATATATTCCATCATTATCGTTTTGTGTTGTATGTTCAAAGTGAAGGTAATACAAGTTTAATCAGGCATGATTCATGGACATTACATTGTAGTAAATGAATAGCTATTTGGGTATAACAGAACTTTCCCTTTTCGAAAAAATCTTTTTAAGAGTACCTTATCTGTAGAAAACACATTGCATCTGGTCCATGCCCTCATGTTGGCTCCACTTGGTTTGTTAAAGATTCAGGTGCTGCCATCTGCTGTATCATCTGACCACACTGTATATACATTCTGGGTACAAGGTTAAAAACGCCTTCTCGTGGACGATTAGTATATGGCACAGCTTTTTCCACAAATGCGTGACATATAACTACATTTTTACAATTAAACAATTCGGCTACCAAACATTTCCTACCTTCAAAATCCTCCAGAACCATTGTCCACCACCACCTGTTTTCCGACGGACCCTTTTCTGTGTCGCACAAAACATTGCCCACACCGGTCCTGTTTCCGGTAGAGCTGCAGAAATGATTTGGAGCTCATTTAGCTTTAGCTGTACTGATGTTGTATGGTCTTTTCTGGCTTTATGTTTCCTTGTCGCTTTTTGTGCTCACAAAATCTCAGCATACTTGCCGAGAAAATGGGACACAGGCCGTCTTTACTTGTTATTTCAGGACCTTATTCGATACGGAAAAACAAAACAAACTCTCAAACGAGACAACTGGCTGCGTGCATTTGACGTCCCTAAAAGGTAACAGTGATTTAGGAAACAAGTTGATATAATGCCTTTTAACTTGTATGCATCATAGATTCAATTGTTGTGTATTTTATATTGAATATATTTGAATTTCCATTGTTTTCAATTTATAAAGTCAAATGTGTAGATGTTAATTTACTTTTAAAAACAGAATAATCTTGAGTTATTATTTTTTTCAGGTGGTTTTCGCATTTCTATGCCATCTCTGTTGGCTGGAACGGTCTTCTTCTGGCCATCTACCTAAACTTTATATATCACCATCAGTCATTCCCATCGTGGCTGACTGGACTATTAGACATTTTGACAGGTGTACCGAGCACCGACAGTCAAGGTAGACTCTCTTTTTTAAAGTTTGTGTTTTCCCGTTTGATTCATAGTGTTAATCATACTGTCTTCAGTCCCACAGCTGTCCACTGTGCTGGTGCAGCTGCTGCTCTGCGTCCACTCCCTGAGGAGGCTGCTGGAGTGCCTGTTCGTCAGTGTTTTCTCTGATGGAGCCTTACATTTAGTGCAGTATGTGTTTGGTGTGTGCTATTACATCGTACTTGGGCTGACGGTGCTCTGCTCGGATCACCTGGGAAAAGGTGAAACTTCAATCAGAGCCCTCTACATCTGCTATTCACTGATACTGCTCTGTGGTATTTCAGTGGATTAGTTTATAGGGCACAACACAACCTCTGAGCAAGAGTTTGCTATAGCTCAACAGAACAACAACAACAAGTGTACTGTCAACTAATTAACCGAATGATGATATTGATGTTTGTGATGTTCTTTTTTAGGGTCTGGATCCCTCCTCTCTCAGCTGGACTGGTTTCATATGGCTGGAAGTGCACTTTTCATTTGGGCCTCTCTGATGCAACATCAGTCCATAGTCCTGCTGGCGGGGCTTCGCACTGGAAAGTCAGGTATGCTTGTGCAACTGCCTTTTCTTGGTGTTTTGAGCCTTAAACAACAAATGATGTATATTTTTCTGCTGAAGTTTTCCTAATCTACAAAAAATAATTAGATTGTGTTCGCAATGTTGCTGCCTTAAAGCCAACCACTGTTTATTTTCTTCAGAAATGTATGCTAAAACCAAATATATTGCAAAGACCAACAATTTTTAAATAAGAAAACTGTGAACACTTTATATGCATATTGTCAAAATGTGAGGAGTACCATAAACCAATGATATCAGGTACATGGGGACTGACGTATTTGTTTGTTGTCTTTTGTGGTGTATTTCAGGAACGGTGGAGACGCTGGCTCACAGACTGCCAGAGGGAGGCTGGTTCGAGCTGGTGTCTTGCCCGCATTACTTGGCTGAGCTGTTGATCTACGTCTCTCTGAGCTTGATCTTTGGAGGCCTGTCTCTTACCTGGTGGCTTGTCGTCCTTTATGTGCTCTTCAATCAAGCACTGGCAGCACAGCTTTGTCATGAACATTATGTTGGCAAATATGATTCATACCCAAAGCATAGAAAAGCATTTATACCTTTCGTGCTGTGAAGACTTATCATTGGTGTGATCTTTCTTGCTTTCCTTTTCTGGGAATTGTTAAGTCCAATAGAAAAATCAGAGACATTGAGACACTGAAGGTGTGGGAGTGAAACTCACCCCCCTCTCAGCATTGACTGACAATGTGCTCTCTCAAGCTGCTCATAGCCAACACGAGAACAATGAAGGCAGTTGACAGGAGCTGTCATGTGTGAATGTGAGGCATGAAACATTTCCCACAGATACAGTCCCTCCAGTTGAACTGTTTCTCCGAGACTGATGTGATTACAAATGTCACAAATCACCTTTATTACAAGACTTTGTCTTTTTACATGATACATTGTTATCTTAAACATTGCAAAGTAATTGATTTATGTAAATGAACCTGAACTGGTTATGATGACTGTAAATGTGTACATAGCCTATGCGTTTTTTATTGAAATATGTTTATTAAAGTAATCACTACAGATTATTCAGACTTGTAAAGGTGTCAACGTTTCTTGTATTTCTGCATAAGTTGGTCATAAAATGGAGGAAGCCACTGCTGTCCAGAAAAAACATTGCTGCACGTTTGCAAAAGAGCACCTGGATGTTCCACAGCACTACTGGCAAAATATTCTGTTGACAGATGAAACCAAAGTTGAGTTGTTTGGAAGGAACACACAACACTATGTGTGGAGAAAAAAAGGCACAGCACACCAACATCAAAACCTCATCCCAACTGTGAAGTATGGTGGAGGGAGCATCATGGTTTGGGGCTGCTTTGCTGCCTCAGGGCCTGGACAGATTGCCATCATCAACGGAAAAATGAATTCTCAAGTTGATCAAGACATTTTGCTGGAGAACTTAAGGCCATCTGTCCACCAATTGAAGCTCAACAGAAGATGGGTGATGCAACAGGACAACGACCCAAAGCACAGAAGTAAATCAACAACAGAATGGATTCAACAGAAGAAAATTAGGGCCCTTCTGGAGTGGCGCAGTCAGAGTCCTGACCTCCCACCCAATTGTGAGATGCTGTGGCATGGACCCTCAAGAGACGCGATTCACACCAGAGCATCCGCAAGAATATTCGCNAAACTCCCATGCTCCTGTGTATATAGTGTTATAGTATTATATAGTGGACCTTATCTGAACGGGAGCATGGGAGCTTCTTAAGCCATTTAACTGAAGTGTATCTGACAGTTAACATGTTGTAACATGCAAACGTGTGTGGGTGTGAGCCGGTTGCTTCACAAAGTCACAATGGCTTTTTAGTGACTAGAACTGCAACAACTGCAACAACTGTACTGCTTTTCTTTGCAGAAAGCCACAAGTACCCATCCAATAGGCCCAGTAGTTTCTGAAGATGGCTCCAACAACGGGAACCTGGGTTTCATCCATGCCTTTGTGGCCTCTATCTCCGTCATCATCGTCTCTGAGTTGGGAGACAAGACCTTTTTCATTGCAGCCATCATGGCCATGCGTTACAACCGTCTCACCGTGCTGGCAGGTGCCATGCTGGCCTTGGGGCTGATGACCTGTCTTTCTGGTCAGTAAAAGTGCATGATTTATTTTTGCATGCAACTAAAAATGAGTTATTCCTCTCTCTTTTGCTGAGTAATAATTAAGTAATTGTTGTATTTTTGTCCCCCAGTGCTATTTGGCTATGCCACAACCATCATCCCTAGAATCTACACTTACTATGTGTCCACCGCTCTGTTCGCCATCTTCGGTATACGCATGCTGCGGGAGGGGCTGAAGATGAGTCCAGATGAAGGCCAGGAGGAGCTGGAGGAGGTGCAGGCGGAGATCAAGAAGAAGGATGAAGAGGTGAGATAAGGTTTTACTCTTACAGAGCTTACACACTGCGGCGTGCGTTGAAGCCCATTCACTTTGAATGGAGTGACGTCACGCTTTGCCGAACTGCATTGTGGGAGCAAAGCTTAAAAAGTAGAGCAATGTTCTACTTTTGAAGCTTCGACGGAAGCGTCAGCCAATCAAATCCCGTTTATGCAAATCTGCCAGTACAAGCGCCAGCCAATCAAACCGCGTGTATGCCGAGAGAGCCATACCGCAGTTCATTTCCTCATGTGCCAAAAAATGGAGGACAAAATCATCGTAGTGGTAGGGAATCACCCGGTGGTATGTGATCAGTCCCTGTTCACCTACCGGGATACAAACCGGAGGAGCTAGGCATGGAGGGAGGTGGCAGAGACAGTGGGTGGAACTGGTAGGTTTTCGCCTGTTTGGGGAGTTTATATATCCAGTTGCTCGCGTTAACTCCCCAAGCTTCAGACAAGCCAAGCGTCAACGCACGCCGTGTGTAAGCTCGCTTAAAGGTCACCTATCATGCCAGTTTTAGGCCATAGCATAGGTCTCAGATATATAAAAAATGTCTATGAAGTGTTTTGCTCAAAATACCAAACAGATCATCCATTCTAGCCATGCCTCATATCCCTCTATTTCACTTCCTGCTTGAAAAGTGCTGATTTTGGGTATAAAGCTTTAAAAAAGAAAGAAAATTAATTGATAAAAAGAGGGGCGGAGCTTACGCAGGAGATTCTACCGGCAGATACTGCCGTGATGAAACGCCATATCATGGATTATCATGGATTATTTCTGAAACAGTATGGAGCTCAAAGGCTTTCTCTCTTGCCGGTTATACCACAAGGTGAGTTTCTTTTTTTATATCCTGCTTCTTCACACACATGCTCTCTTCAGTAGAGGTTAGCTCTGAGTGTTAGCGATGCTAATGTGAACACCAACCATATTACGTCCAAAACAGTCGGGCATTGTTTCTGATAGCAACGTTTCTGATAGTGCTGTGGGTCTGCATTTCCGATATGACGTCAAATCGGAGGCAAATCTGGATCAGCTCCGTTGTACCCTGGAGGAATAGAGAGAGGGTTTTATTTTCTGACACTGCGTGAGTTCCCCGACACACCGGGGACACACATCTCTGTATAAAAGACATCAAAAAGTGGATTTTGCATGATAGGTCCCCTTTAAGACCTAAAAATACCTTTAACTCAACTTTATTGTCAATTCCTCTATTTGTGACAGGGGGATCAAAATTCTGTTTTCCCATCCCAGAGAATACAAATATTAAAAAAGAAATGTATACATACAAACAAGCCTTTACAAAGACACTCTTACCAATCAATAAAGTAAATCTAATCTAATATATAGGTAATGGTTCAGTTTTCCATACAGATATGCCTTTTTATCTCTTGAGCTGAACAACAAATCTTTCATAAATACTTTTTATTTTATTTGTATTCCTACCTAGTATAGAAGGCAACATCCACACATTGTACTTACCTGAAATAGTACCGCAAAAAGTGCCACTGTTTAAAACTGTGAGAAATCCCTTTTCCTGATATGACATGTATCCCTGTGTCTAGTGAGAGATACTGTGTAAAAGAGTGAAACATTATACAATTAAAAAATACTCTCATATTTCCATATGTAAATACGGTGCTCTTGCTTCAGCTTTGTGTTGTCGTTGCAGCTCCAGCGGGCCAAGCTGATCAATGGGACGGCCGATGTGGAGGCTGGGACTGGGACGGCCCTGCCTCAGGGAAACTGGCACAGCATCATCTCACCCATCTTCATCCAGGCCCTCACCCTCACCTTCCTGGCAGAGTGGGGGGACCGCTCGCAGCTGACCACAATTATTCTGGCTGCGCGGGAGGTTGGTTACATTAACTTTAAGACAAAAGCATGTGTCTTCAATACCTTTTTTTAAAATCGTATACCTTACAGCAGGGGTGTCCAAATGTGGCTCGCTGGCCATTTTGAATCGGCCCTCAGCAAATTCAAAAGTATAATGGAATGCGGCCCACAAATGAAACTTAAGCTTGTCTTGTATTGTACTTCTTAAATATATCTGTAAACATATATTACACAGTAGTGTTCATGTGTTAATAAGCCCACTTTCAGTTGATTAAAGTTGAAAATATGTTCAAACAAATCTAAGTTGATAAGAGAAAAGCCCAATAACTTATTTACAACCTTGAAATATACCCTTCATATTTCCTCTTATGATAAGCAATCTAAGGCTTCTGTTTTTAAGGAATGAGCTGCTAACAAAATAAATGAAACCCTATGGAAAGCTTTGATGTAGGCTGTTGTATCAAGCATAATGTACTTACATTTGATTGATTTAGCTAACTTATAACTTCACTTATGATGCATTAAACCTCACCTCTAGTGAGTGGCCCAGCCCTTCGAATATTTTTCTGGATGTGGCTCTCAGTGAAAAAAGTTATTTCTTTATATTTTTGAGCCACACCACACACAGTATGCACCGCCCCTCTGTTGATATGCTGATTTGCAAATATGTAGGAAAGGCAATATATAATTTGCGTAAGCGTCAGTGTGAAAGAGACTTGTTTTTTAAATCCTAGGATCCATTTGGAGTCGCCGTGGGCGGTACACTTGGACACTGTATGTGTACAGGACTGGCTGTGGTAGGAGGGAGAATGATCGCCCAGAAAATATCTGTCAGAACAGGTGAGAAAGTTCTTTTTTGTATTTTTTATGCTGCTATGGACAATCTTGCACTAATGTAGATTAGTAGTATCCCAAAAATATTGAAGGGACTGTTATTTTGTATAAGATAAGACGGTACCTTATTGATCCCAATTTGGGACCTTTTTGTTTTGCAGCAGCATAAAAAGACAAGCGTTTTACAATAAAACAATACAAATTAAAAAAAAAGAAATAAACAAGAAAGTACTAGTATATATTGATTGTTGTGTTTTTTTATCCTAATGTGTGCACATGTATAAATGTGTCTGTTGATTGTGTATATATATATAGGATATACATATTTTATTTGTATTTTTATATTCGGGATTGTGGAAAATGGTATTTCTGTCTGTACACACAAACTGAAAGATTGACAATCAAGTTGACTTTGACTTTTGAAAAGTTCCGTTATTAAATTGTACTCTACGCTCTTTATAAATGTTGAAGTTACGTTTAAACACAGTGGATCTCATTTGACATTTGTAGATTGTATTGTCTTTATTAGGATCCCCATTAGCACTAGCATGAGCATTGGCTATCCACTGCACACGAGTGAATAAGGGTATTACACCTTGTCAGTTAAAAAAGTTATTAGTTTTCATGATTCAGCATTAATGACACTGTGCCACTACTGCTTGTGCTTCCATGCTCCCAGTTCCCTGGGGCAAATTATTATCCATCCATTAGTGTTTGCATAAGTTGACCCGGTCAGTGTACCGTAGCAACAGAGCGACCAGAGCAGCTCAAACATTAGTGCTTATCATTACCCTTGAGAGCACCACAACCAGCTGGGAGATTCCTTAAGCAGTTTGGAGCAGCATGGATACACAAAAAGTATATGTTGATCTATTTCAAAAATCTAATATTAAGTCAGATAAATTGTAATGTATAGAGAAAAATGCAAAGAATGAGTGTGCTTTGCCTATTGTTTGGATTAAGACTTCTTTTTCATAATTCCTATCTTATAATTAAATGTGTTGCTAAAACCATATACACAGTTAATTGTCCTTTTTATAGCCTAACCCCATAATTCAATGATTTGTTTCTTGTTTTGCTTCCATAGTGACAATCATCGGTGGGATAGTTTTTCTGGCCTTCGCCTTCTCGGCCCTGTTCATCAAGCCAGACGCTGGATTTTAATTTGAAGAGAGACGTTCAGGTTTTTTCTCTGTACATACGTGTAATATTTGGTTAAGTTGCTGTAGAGAGACTGTAGTTTTGACTCTGTGTGTGTGTCCAACAGACAGTCCTTTCCTCATCTCCTAGCTAGCCTCTGTTCCACCACAATCTAACTCTGGGGGGTAAAGACTTCCCTTTTGTTTTCATTAAATAACATTTCCTAACAGTGAATGTACATTAAAGCCGTGTTGGAGCTGTTATCTAAGCAATGCTTTATTTTTATGAAGTACAGGAGTTGGATAACGTAGGAAATAAATCCCTGGATCTTTTTCTGAAAGTCTGACTTGTACGTCTTGATGGGAACAAAGCTCATCAAAGCTCAGAGGCTAGCAGAGTATTGGATTTGACTGTAGCTCTCAGTTAGAGCTGTACTCTCATCACAAGGTGTGTGAGCGAAGGAGGACTGGATTGTTACTGATTACCGCCCCCCCCGACAGAGCCTGACATGCAGTACTTCCCTCAACGCTAAGCCGTCAATTAGACACTGAGTCCATTTACAAATATTTGCCTCTTCTTCTCTGTTTTTTTAAATGTTTATTCGTCATGAGCCCAGGTGCTGTCAGGTGACAGGTTAATAACTGGACGAGCTGCCAGTTCACTCTTACAGGAGTTGTTCCATCTTCCTCTCTGAGTGATACATCTGATCTGCCGCATAATAAGCGGGAGTACATTATAATATAATTTCCCAGTGTTAGAAATACACTGCAAACATAACCAACAGCACATTATTAATTAAAAGAATGTGTTTGAGATATATGATTTGAGATTTTATTCAAGGCTTCATCCCAAAATGTCCCTCAATTTATTTTCTGTTTCAAATAAAAGCAGTCTTTTAAAGACACACGAACCACTAGAAACCTCTGTGTCCAGGTGTGGCTTAACCTATGTTGGATTGGAGCTACATCACAGCTTAAGATTGCTTATGTGCTTATTTTCAAAACGCTAATCACATGTTGGACATATTGATCGGGGTACTTCAACATTTCCTGCTTTCAGTTTGGGTGCTGGTATTGAACAAAACAGGTTGAAGAAAGGCCAGTACTTGCCTCACTCTCCCACACACGTTCACGCTTCCTACGTGATTATAGCCATTAAATACGAACCTCGCTGCCTCTATCGTTGCTGCCCCGAATCACTAAATAAACGATAACATCAGTTACAGAATGAATGACAGAAACCATCATGTATCCAACTAAAAACGTCCATTAGAAGTCACTCCTTTAGCCATAAGCAGCTGTGTTGTAGCTACAGCAACACCTGAACAATGCAGCGACGTTTCACCTTTTTATTTAAAGTGGTATCTATTTATTTAGCTTCATGTACTGTAGCAGCAGAAAGGGTGGGAGAGGTAACTATAAACAAGGAATGGACATATTTTTTTAAGGTAAAAAGGCTAAAGCTGCATTGTCAATATTTGACAGGCTGTGCCCAGCTGTGAAATACTTCTGTTTGTGATACAGGTTGGTTGTAATGCCTATACATCTAAATAGCTCAATAAAAATATTTCATGTGTTGTCTGATTTCATATCCAGTCGTCTGTTTTTTGTTTTGAGCTGAGTGGACAAACCTAGAAACAAATCAACAGACCTCATTACTGTTTTATTCTCAAATTGAATGGGGAGCAAACAATAGATCATTTTGCCTTACACATTTATTTTCATTTATGATTGGTTTGGCTCATGAAATAAATGCACATGTGTATACTGTTAGCAATAATTCATGAATTACAAGCAGTGAAGGAATGTTAAATGAAAATGTGGTCCTATTTCAGATCCTTTCTGAGTAGTTCATTTCCCGTAGAAGAGCTTTAAACTGGAGCCTAAAAGTGACCAGCAGGTGGCAGTAGTGGATATAAAAAGTGCAGCGTTTATATCCCATCTGAGCATGAGCATATAACTGAACAGTTTAGTATAACTAGGTATGGTTACTGAACGTCTCTCCTTGTAATGATGGAAAAATAGGTTTGGTTTTCAGACCGCACATCCATTAATATGGTGCAAGACCAAACATTTCAAATGCTAGCTAGCCATTCTAGCAGGGCTGAAATTCTGCACGTTGATTCTTAGGTCACACCTGAAAGCAGTCCAACACCTGCGCTGATAACAGGTGTGACCTGGATGATCTACTATTCAGTGTTTTAGATGTGTCTTAGTCGTGTATACTGCAGCAGTACATTTCATGAGCCACACAATAACGCCACACAAATATGAACGGAGGGGGGACACCTATAGACATTCAAACAACATTTACCACAATTTCATTTAGGGATCCCCTCTCTTCAGATAACAAAAAATGTTTCCCACCTGTGTTTTCTAGCTTGGAAATTACCAACAAAAAATAACTAGTGTTCTCTTTTAAAAAGCTTGGGTCAATTTCAATACCCTGCATCAAGGAAATCAACTTGATAGGCTGGAAACAAAGTCTTTGCATAACCATCATCTCTAGTAACCAGACCTTTCTGGGGGGAAAGGAGCTTAACAGTCTTTGTGTTAATGTCACAGTTCGTTCAGATCCTTCATGCTCGCACATTTGAAAGCTGTGCCGTTACCTTCTTTAATGTCATGAGTCTAATGCAAGCTCAATGAGGTTTATCCCGGTAATAGAAAAATAACTTGGATCTCTTCATTTACTGCATGTCTTGTCATTGTGCAAAGTCTCTCACAGCCACACGTCTCATGCTAAATACTTACATTCTTGTAGGTGTAGCGCCCCACCTATACCACGCTCCAGAGGGCTGTTTGCACATGGAGGTTCCCTCTACATGTGGAGAACTGTTGTGTGTCTTTTTTATATATTGGTGTGTTACAGGACCACAAATGGATTTTAAAAAGAGGAGTGTAAAGGTTGACCTATACTCTAGCTACTGTATATGCACAGAAACAACACAGTGGAGAAAGCAGGTTAGGGACTGTTTGGGAGTTATTAGTGGGAGGTAGGTTCAGAAAAGGGGGGAAGGTTATGAATTATTTCTTTGTTTCTGAAAGGAGGGCCGTTCATTTTTCCATGGCTAAGGTTTTTTAAATGTCATGGTTCTCTCGCCTAAATAGTTTAGTTTGCGTCTGCCATAAGCAGAGGACAACAATCATATCCTCCCTCAAACTCAAATTCCCCATAGCAATATTTTTTTTGTATAATACAGAGTTTTTAAATACATTTTGAAAAAGTGTGTGTAAGTGTATGGAATGGGGATGCAATATTGACATGATATAGCATGTTGGTGACTATAATGTAGTCTAGATCAGCTACACACTAAACATGGGCCTGCATCATTAAATACAGCTAGATATGAAACAACTTTAACCAAAAAACATGAAAGCATCTTTAAAAAACAAAAACAATTACATAAATAATGCAAGCCAAATGTACTTGGACATGAGTGATTAAAACTTGAAATGCACAATTTACAGATAGCAACAATCTAATAATGTGAAACCCATTGGCTAACTTGAAACAGATGACAACTTGGAGTCAAACTAAAACATAATAATTGCAAGGTCATAATTTAGGTTAATATATATGTATTTTTTTTTCCACATGTTCAAACTAAATGAGCGGGACTTCAGGGCAGTAGAAACACCAGCTGTTACATGATGAACTCAAGTTATTGGACTTCTTCCATGGTGTAATCATTATGAACACCAAATTCAAACTTCATGACATGCATGCTATGTAAGCACACATGGTATCACCAGACAACTTGGGCCAAAGGTCCAACAACGACTCTATATTTCACCGGACCAGCGACCATTAGTTGCTCTCAGCCATCTGACGGTGGACTCGGTCAGATGGTGAGGAGGCTGCCAGGCCGACCTGCTTACATGCTGGTCAGCATTTTGAAATGGTACACAATAAAGTAGGAAAGAACAATCCACCTACACAACTCCAAACAAAGTTTCTCCTCTTACAGTATGCTTGATGCGTAAACAGGCAACTGTTTGCTAAAAAAGTTCACTGTATTAACTTAATATGGCAGTGTTGGGTTCACAGCCTGCTTCCACTGCAGCCAAGTAGCCAATTTAAACAGTGATTGCGGTTTTAGGTTGAGTCAACATGTAGAGAATTAGCTGGAATTGAATCTGCTTTCTCAAATCAAAGCCTGACTGGGAACATAAAAGCAAGGCAGATTTAATTCCAACCACTTAAAGCTGGTTTGAAGCTACAGCACTCAGGCTGCAGAAAAGAGGTTGGTGACGGTTCTCTCTCTTCCTGAGAGTGCGAGGAGTTCACAGATATGAGGGGACCTTTGAGCTGCTGCCTCAATAGAGCTAGTTAAGGGGTTTGTGATTCCTGCAGTTCCCACAGGACGGAAAAAGGTGCAGGAGGGAGCCTGGGAGTCTGGGCTGCTCTCCCCACTCTGCTGACCCAGATAAGGGGCTTAAGACTGGATGGATGATCAGACTGCCAATTACAACACTGTTTGATCAGAGCCATGCTAACACAAATCATTTCACTCAAGCTTAGTGTGAGAATGTCAGCCTCAGGTTACCAGGTCTGACTTTCACATTTCAAATATATTTGAAGGGGTAAATATCTAGATGTTGAATAAATCCATACGTACATCATATATAACTCTGAAAAGGAGGGTTCTCAGCGGAAGTGCTAAACATGAATACATAAGAAAATAAGTGTTGTATTGTTCAGCATTATTGTTTGCTAACATTTAACTTAACCTTGGTAGGTTTAAGTCAATTCACACTATTTAAGTTGTATTTATTTTTTAGTATGCAGACTTGAAGCACATCTTAAAAAGCTTTTTTAAATACTTAAAATATCCTCTATTATGAAATCTGTGAAAATACGGTTCAAGGATTAAACAAACTGTGACACAACAAGCAGCATCGGCAGTGTTGACTGTTGACACACAAACATCTCCCCGAGGAGATAGGGGTCTGTGAGAATATCAGCCACTTTAAGATCTTTTTCTTCGAGCACTAGAATAAAAGCTTCAAAATAACTACACATTTCATTTCATGCATCATATAAAATATCAGTTCCTTCTTTTTCATTATATTTACATCATATATTACACCTGGTGTTCTGAACAGTTAAAGTCCAATGTACACCACATTTTCAAAAATATTTTCTGACATAATTATATTCAACAAGAAAAAGAGAAAACATCCAAAACAAGGATGTCCTTGAAGCTCGACAGAAGATTCTCTGCATCACCTCAATGAACCAGAGAGCTCTGCATAACTCAATCCTGTGAGTGTGACTGGAACACACACACACACACACACACACACACACACACACACACACACACACACACACACACACACACACACACACACACACACACACACACACACACACACACACACACACACACACACACACACACACACACACACACGGCCAGGGGAGGGTGTGAGGGGGAGTCCATTATAAGGTCTGTGGCTCCCTGTTTTCTTTGAGAAAGGCCCTTGTCCCAGACCCGGTTCTCTGCAGCTCTCAGTGCTCAGGTGTTCAGTGCAAACAGCAACAGATCTCTGTGAGGGGGGGGAGCCACTGCTGCCCATCCCATCACTGCTCAGCCTGAGGCGTGGTCTTAGTGCTCTTAGCAGGACTTCTCTGTAGACCCCTGTCACAAAGACACCCGTCACAATGACACCCACACTTGGGTTTGGCTCAGTCCACTTCTGATTGGCTCCCCCCAGCTACTGTTGCTGCGAAGAGGAGCGGTCAGACAGACTGTCGGCCCGGTGAGGGGCCAGCTGCTGCTGATGATGATGATGATGATGCTGTTTATGCTGCTGTAGCTGCTTCTGTTGATGATGATGCTGTTGTTGTTGTTGTTGTTGTTGTTGTAACTGTTGCTGCTGTTGTTGGGGTGTGGCAGTGAAGGCACCCTGCTGCTGTAGAGGGAAGGCCGCCTGCAGGATCAACTGGGTGGACTGGTTTCCATGAAGAAGCCGAGAAGCCTTGTGTGGAAAAATGTGATTAGCGAGTTGATTGGATGGAAATTAACCTCTTTATTTAAGTGACATTTGTAATTATGGCATTTTCTGATGTGCAAAGTTAGCTCATGTTAATTTTCCCCCGAGCGTTACCTGAAGGAACTGAGTCTGCTGCAGTGGAGCCTGCCCTAGCTGCATGGCTGTGACCTGAGACTGCTGCTGTACCTGCTGCTCCTGCTGATGATGCTGCTGCTGCTGCTGATGATGATGCTGCTGTGGTGGCTGCTGGGAAATGCTGATGGTCTGGGTCTGGCTCTGCTGCGGAGCGAAGGCAGTCACCACTTGGCCCATAAACATGGTTGTGGGGACCATGACGGCCCCACATGCCATCTGCCCTGCCATTAGCTTGGTGAGCAGCTGAGGACTGGCAGGAAACCTGTGGGAGACAGGAAGTGGGCAAAAGGCTGGTTAGGGTCACTGAATCACATGGAAATGGTGTCAGGAGCCTTCTTGGACGAGTTATTGGAAATGTTTGGATTACAGAAGTTTGAACTATACGCAGACACCATTGAAATCCAAGTCTACTTGGCAGTACGATACTAATAATATTAGTTTAGCCAAATATTTATCTGCAACTATGCAATTTGTGGTTTGGACAGAATAAATAGACATGCAAAAAAAGAAATACAGCTGTGGAATGTTGAGTTCAAATGTTGATGTTTCAATGTTATGAATGAAGCTTCAAACTATTCCATTCAGCCCTAAACTAAATTGTAGAGACACAATTAAAGAGGTAGGCAGAGTGGCAGTGCAATCAATGATCTTACAGTACTTAATAACGAGCTCACTTTGTGTGATGATATGAAATGTAATCATGACAGCAATGGGACCAGTTTTTAAATGAGGGTACAAACCTAATTTGAGCTGAACGGTCCTGTGCAAATGTGGCCACAGCAGGAGTGTTGTGTCCAGTATTCTGAGCCAGGCTGGTGGCAATCTGGAGCACGTTGGCTGGGCTCTGCTGAGGGATCATCATTGTGTTGTAGAGAGACGCAGGCAGTGGATTTTGTTGAGGCTGCAAAATGAGAGACGAGCGTTGAGATTGAAATACACAGAACAAGATGAAGATGTGTTGGATGTTTTTATTAGACAGCACCGGGAAAACTGTTTAGTTTGTCAGACCTGTGAGAGTGCTGAGCTCTGTTCCCGCAGCAGCATTTGTTGCTGGGGCTGGACAGCATGTTGGGTTTGAATGCTGCTCTGTAGAAGTCCTGCAGAGACCACCTGGCCCTGCATGCTGAGGGTCCCGCCCTGCTGCACAGTGCTCCCCTGGTCCATCTGAACAGAGCTGAGACTCAGTCCGCCAGCTCCTTTCGGCAAGAACATCTGAGACATGCAGAAACGATTCTTACTACAACAGCAAAATCCTCCACCCAAACCGAAAATACATTTTTTTTTTTAAAACAAAAAAACAGCAAAGCAACAACACTTCTCCCCAGTCTCACCTGCAGGCTCTGGCCCTGCACTCTCTGCAGCTCGTCCTGGATCTGCCGCAGCTCGTCCTGCTGCCGCTGAATGTTGGCCTCGATCAGCCTGGTCCTCTGCTCAAGCTGCCCCTTCAGGCTATGCATGACCTCGAGCTGGCTGGAGAACTGCACCATGGCCTGCTGAGGAACAATGACACGGGACACAGAGGGAGGTTAAATGGTAACGGCTGAGGTGATTTCAATGCATGTATCTAGCATAGCATAAGAGGAGCAATTTTAAACAGTGATTCAAAGGCACCAAAATGGCACTTACAAATCATTGTCACAGATTACTGATCCAAATCCATTATACATTTGGTTTAAAAAACATTTTTAAATCACATTTAGGTTGCAAATACATGTTAGCGACAGAGCACTAGAAATGTTATGAGGATAAATTAAATATTTTTTACGAAATTAATTTATAATCGGAATTGGTTAATGAATTCATTTCATTGATACACAGCCCTATTTAATCGGAGAAGCCCAAAGCACAACTCCACTTGACTTTTTCCTCCAGTTTTTTCTTGAATTAAACCAAAGCATACTATAAAAAGGTGCCGGAAAAGCTGTCTGACTGGCACAGAAGAATAGTCGTGAATTAAGCATTGAAACAATTGAGATAGTTATCTTACCTGCCCACTGATCTGAACTTGTTGCTGTTGAGGTTGTTGCTGTTGTTGCTGTTGTTGTGAAACCACGGATGTTGCCATGTTCTGTCCTGTAGTCTGGGAGCTCATTGACTGCTGAAATAACATACAACATAACATTAAACACCAGAAAAAAAATTGGATGAAGATCATTTCAAAACAAAGCATTTGATCTCTCCCTAACGGTACGTCCACACGGCAGCGTCGCATGCTTCAACGGAGACGCTTCCCATTCACTTTGAATGGGGTGACGTCAATCTTTGCCGAACTGCATTGTGGTTCCGTCGCGTCGCTTTGCCTCCGTTGCTCGGTTCGAAAGTTGAGAAAAGTTCAACTTTTCAAGCGTCGACAGAAGCGCCAGCCAATCGAATCATATGCCAGTACAAGCATTAGCCAATCAAACCGCGTGCTTGTGTGTCCGGGGCGGGAGATTCATGTGATTGGTCGCGCACCAGACACGCCCACCGGCAAGCTTCAACGCAACGCTGCCGTGTGGACGTACCGTAAATGTCCACTAATTAAAGCCCTTTTACACAAGACTTTGTCCTTCACTGACCTGACTGCTGATGGATGATCTTTGCACTGACGTCATCTCCACAGCACAGACAGATTGGCACCCTGGTGTACTCCTGTCTCCCTGAAGCTTCACCTGCGACGCTGAGAGGGAAACATAAACGGGATTCTCAGGTTTAAAAAACGAGAAGGCCATCTGGTATAAACTAGTTTCAGTCACAGAGATAGTTGTGTGTGCTTACAGGCTGGGTCAGACAAAGCGGTGTGCGAGGATTTGTGTGAGCTGTGAGACGAGGTCGAAGGTGACCGGCTGTGGTTGAAGCGATCCAGAGCCTCCTTCAGGCTGGTGGTGTTGAGCTGGGACTCAGACTCTGAGTCCTGGGACTGCTGTGAGGCGAGGGGGAAAGTCAGATCTGGGTCTCCATGTCACAGATTACTGATCCAAAAATCAAGTAATCAATCAAGTCTCACCTTGTCTGTTGTGATCTCAGGTTGTATTTCTTCGATTCCAAGCTCTCTGCGCTGTTCTGCTCTTACTTCAGCGTAACTGTAGAACAAGGCAGTGAATGTGGTATAAAGATTAGGCGTTTTTCTATTTTTTTCCCTTTTAGAAATATAGAAATCTCCGGGTAAATCTTTGATGTACCTTACAACAGTGTGTGTGCAGACAATAAACTCTGGTCTGGAGTTCCACTGGTGGTAGGTGATGTAGTAGTGAGTCTGAAGCCAAATCCACTGCTGCCCTTTGGTGAGGAATCTGTAGTAGCAGGACTTTCCTTTGCCATATTGCATTACTAGAGAAACACAAGGAAAGGTAGCTTGATTAAAAGCTCAAAAGAAGTTGATATTTTAGTGATGCCTGAGAAAGATGTACTCACAGTGTTCGTGGCATTTGGCCAGTGTCTCCAGGTCATCTACATGGTAGTAGTCATATCCTGATGTACCCAGCACCTCAAATGGGAGGTAACCTATGATGGGTGGAGCTCTGGAGAAACACAGACAATGTTGTTGCAATGAATATTTGCCTAATTAAAAAATGGAGCAGAAAAATAGTCAATTTGAATTCAAATGATATGGGGATAGAAATTATATTGGAAGTGCTGGAAGTGCTAAACTACAAAGGACACAATCTCAACACGGAGAATTTACATTGCTTTGAAGATTGTGAAGTGGCTTCATTGACACTACAGCATATGCATTTAATATAGGGCAAGGCAAGGCAATTTTATTTATATAGCACTTTTCAGCACGTGGCGATTCAAAGTGCTTTACAAAATAAAAACAAAAGACATTTAAGAACAAATACATAATTAAATGGCATTTAAAAACAGGCATAAAAAAAGATAATGAAATAAAATAAATAAATAAACACAGCAGGTACAGAATACATGACTAAAAAGCATACTGTAGTGTGAGTATGAGCAGCTCAATTAAAAGCAGCGGCAATAATAAGCTTTGGAATCACTCATTGAATTTATCACAGACCTGTGTTAGGTTTTTTCCAACAGCAAAACACAGGGAAAAACAAACTGGAACAAAGATACTGTTTGATATCTGTACCTGTGGTCCAAGAAGAGAAATTTCCACTCCAAACTATGTCTGGAGGTGAATTCCTCATTTGGCTCCTCTACAGTGCACATCTCCTGTGGGGGAAAGGGGGGATTTAACATTATTAACATGTATCTAAAAATACATGAGATGAATACTTACATTCTAAGATGCACATGCAGGAAATAATGTCAGTCTAAGGAGGTAGATATAAGCATTCACATTCTCCTAAAGTGCTGTGTTCATTGTTAACCAGAATTACTAAGCATCACAAGTTTAAATACATTTCCATGATGTCTTTCATACAGGAACCACTGTCATGATTTCAGTGCCAGAACCTTCATTCCATAATACTTTGGGATATTGTTTAATCTTTATTCCAAACTCAATGCCACTTAATTTCGGACCAATAAACCGCAAATCAAGAGCAGCTGTTTAAAGGTCCCATGTCATGCTTTTCCGGTTATTACCCGTCCCCTTCTGTGTTATGAAGGTTTTTATGCATGTAAACGGTCTGCAGAGTCAAAACCCTCAAAGTACACCCTGTAGTGAGTAAAACTCTAACACAGAAAATACCTCCCCAAAACGCCTCGTTGGAGATACGTCATTGTCCATTTGATTCTTCTGGGTACGCATGATGTCATGCGTTACCCGGAACCAAATGGACCAATCCGTGGAGCCGTTACGTTACGTCCGCGGAGCTGTTACGTTAAGCCCCTGCTGATTGGTCCAAATTGACCAATCCACGGACTTCCTCACAAACACACTCAGTACAGGCAGCTCTGCTGATCTCTCCTCCCTGGCTGCAGGCTGATAACAGACAGTTGGGATCGCGGCGAAATTCTCTCTGCAGACCCATTCTCACAGCGTTTATCAACCTTTTTCTTACTCAATATCAAGCCACACGTATTGTTTTTACTTCGGCTGTGACTTTGTGTGTGCTCAGGGTGAGTTTGGCTGTGTTTCGCTGTGTATCGCTAAACAAGGAAACAACACCTCCAAGGAGCGTAGCACGATTCACAACGTCCCGACCAATCAGAGCACACTGTGCTCACAGGGAGGGTGGGGGCTGGAGCTACTGGAGCTACAACGAGCCGTTAAAGGCAGAGAGTGAAATTCAGTGAATACACGTAGTTTACAGAGATGCTGTATGAGAAACCAATGTGAGTTTGGGAAATTGCACAATATAAATCTATTCTAGTAGACCTCAACAATGGAATTATGATCAGTGGAAATGGCCATGACATGGGACCTTTAACTCAGTTGAACAAAAGATTTAACACAATGGGAAAGAGACCAAAAGATACAGTGTTTTTCAAGTCAACAGGGGACTGCCTTTAATGGTTTACAGGAGCCCAAATGTGTTTGCATGGAGTGACTGGGCAACTATTGCCATTGTTTTTTTTTCTAATTACATTCATTAATCAATTCAAACCCTGAAGTGTGAAACTGAATGTGTTTTAACCGATGAAAGGAGAAGTGTGAAGTGAAATAACGGCTTATGATTATTACCTTGATAAACTGTGGTTTGGCCAGCCTCACGGTTGCTATCAGACACACTCCGTCTTCATAAGCAGAGTGAAGCGATCTCTGGATCACTCCTTCAAAACCGTTTCTGTCACAGTTAGGCACTGGGGACAAATAAAATAACAGAAACTTTACGACTAGGAAACACAGCCCAGAGCTCAGAAAATAATTGGAATGTAACCTACCATTATTCAGGGACTTAAAGTTTCCGATGAACTTGACATATTCGTACACAGGGGGCTCTTTGGGGTCTATTGTCCCTCGGAGCATGTGGCAACAGAACTCCAGCTGATTGTTAGCTGGAAAAAAACATCCCAGTATTAAACAGAAAGAATGAAAGGAAATAATTGACACTTGGGATGACTACATATACATTACAATTATATAATAGTTGAATAATACAAATGTACATTTCACAATGCAAGTCAAATATTCTACTTACTTTTCAGATATTCAGGCGTCAGCGCCTCTCCCTCCATGATATGAGAGGACAGAGCCTTGTACACGTCCGAATGCTCCCCCATGGGCAGGAAGTTCAGAAGGTTCTGGTCCACAAGATCCGACTGTAACACATGTAAAATATCACAAATACATCTTTGAGCAGGAGTTGCTTTACACATGTTGGCTTTGTTATAAATATTATGAAAATGTGATAATGAGTCTACGTTATTATTTATTTACGTTATACTCACAGGCAAATGTTCAAGTAGGGACGTCACACTCTCAGAGGCGTAGATGATATTTCCATCAGTCATAATGGCAAGAAAAAATCCATCCAACGCCTGACAGAAACAAAATGTACTCTTGGATTAGAAAAAAGGAAATGCAAAGACTACAGCATTCCACGTTTAGTTAAAGATGGGCAATAATAACAAATGATCATTTAGGATTTTACAAAGGGAATGATGAAATCATATATACAGAGATGTCGCAATACCCAACAATGTCTTCTGAAATGATAATAACAAGTGGATATTAACTCAAATTTCTCAGAAAATCTGAAGTGAAAATTATTTGAAGATTGTGGCTCTTAAAAACTGGACTCCATGCATGTAAACATAGTCAGGGTATAGATTGAAATATATATATTTATTTTCATCTATCATTTTATTTCACTTCATTTTGCAGTAAAGTTGTAAATCAAATAAAAAGTATTTAAATAACAAAGGATTATACAAAAATAGGTTTTACCATCGGATTTTCCAATAAAGAAACAATATTTAATTACCAGAAAACATGCTATATCCTGATATATATATATATGGAATTACCAATATTGGGATAAAGGATGTTGGCCATATCGCCCAGTCATATACTTTTTTAGCTCACCTCCAACATCAGCTGAGTGAACTCTTCATTACTGAGGAAAGGAGGCTTCCAGTCCTGTCGGATCTCTGTTGACTCTGACTGAGCTGCGATCTCTAGTGGACATAAGACATTAAACAGGTTCAGCTGAAGGGTGTGATCCACAACTCTGAATCTTGATCACACACCGGCTGCATACCCTTATGTTTGTGCAGAAAGTCGATGCTATTTTGCAAAATAGTTGACTTGTCCATCTTGTGGGTGTTGCCCGGCAACATGGTGCCCAGCTCTTTGATGAGGACATTGAACTGATCTCTGCGTTTCTTCTCAGACTTGTTACGGGACACACTGTGGGTAGAATAAGAATAAGAACACACTTTAAATGTTGTGTACCATCTTAAACTGGGGAGGATTAGGTATACGGTCAGAGGGTTTATTTAGTCATTTTAAGCAGCTTTTTGTAACCTTTGTGTAGGATATGGAAGCTGGAGCGAATGACAATGTAACCAATATCTTGGTACGTTTTTGTATTTGTATTTATTGCCCTTTTATGCATGTCTGAAATGTATCACATGAAGCTCTGTGTGTCTGGTACATGTGTATCTTGTGATAGACTTGTTTTAAACTGTGAACACAATAAACAGACTTTGATGAAAAAGAGTAAGAAGAAGTTTTGTCTTTATGTATTACAGTAGTTTGGGCATTGGTCAGAGCTACATTAGCAATGCTACCTTGTTGCGAGTGCTCTAAAATACCCCAACTGTATTAGGAACTAAGGCCATCTGATGTATAATTACTCTATGATTTAAGATTCACGATTTAAAAAGTAACATGAAGCTTTTTTGATCTGAACACAATCCAAAGGGATCGTACCGTTTAGCTTTGTCCTTTTCATCTTCTTCCATTAACCCATCAAAGATACTGCTGTCATCCCTGCAGAGCAAATACACCAACAGTTGAAGAAGATCCTCTTATACTCCTTCTCTATTCATCTATTTTAAACACTGGGTTAAGAGCCCCAGCCTAATTCTAATTGTCATGTTAAAGCAGGAAACTGGACACAGTATCCCAAAAAGTGACTATCTAATGCTGCTAGATATTTGAATTGAAATCAACCAATGGCAATTTTGATAGGCGATTGCCTTAAATCGTCATACAGTACGTAACATCACAGATAATTTTATCTCAAAATCTGTACTGTTGATCAGAGAAAAAAGACAATAATACAAAGCCAAGCCAAATGCAGGTAACTCATAACTCACCGGTCAATGCTCGAGGTCATTTTGTATCCTGTTCAGGGTCGCAGTGTTGGAGAGGGGTCTTTTAATCGTGAGGTAGACATTTGTGAAAGAATCTTTAAGGAAAATAAACAGCACACGGTAAGAACGTGCACCAGCTTCCTCTCTTCCCAGTGGTTGAAAACAGTAGTAATGTCAGATTGTCAAAGTGAACCTCACCTTACTGACAGTACAGCCAGTCCTGTAAGAGGATGAGGAAGTTGCTGCTGGATGAAGGAAGGGTGTGGGTGGACACACTGTGGTGATGCGGGTGGTGGAGCTCTGGGAGTCTTGGAGGAGAGTCACTGAAAGCGTCCTCAATCAGAGGGCAAACCGCCGAAAAGAAGTCTTCAATGGGCCGAGTTTTTCTTCTGCTTTGGGTGTGAGACTGGCTCATGGCACATCTGAGTCTATAAGAAAGTGTTAAAAAAACACACACGTCAGTAACAAAATACTAAAACAAGATGAATGTTCATCAGGCCAGCCATTAAAGACTGCAGGGTATGGCAGATAAAATGTGATTATTATTATTATAACCATGCCACATATATGAAGCTGTCTAATTTGGGAGGCGGTATTGGAACATGTTAAATAAAGTGATGAATCAGTTTGAGTACATTTAAAACAAAAATGAAAATGCACTTTCTTTTAAAGATGGGATGTGTGCCTTCAAGCCACGTGCTCCAAAGAAATAGGGGGCAGCATTGTGTCTCCATATAATATAAACCAACAGCAGGGCAGGAATAAGGACACTTCCACCAAAGTGCTGAGAAAACAACTATTGGGTACAGCCCCCATATTTTGGATAGAAAATGTTTGTAAAATGTTAGTCTTACTCTGTTTAGAAGTCAGTTTATTTATCGTTTTTTACCATAAGATCTTGGAAATACATACTATATTCTGTACAGTTGGGCAGTAGAGCCACTTTTTCCCATCACTGTCACCCACTTCAACAGGCAGTGGTCAGTGTAGGACGCTGCAAGAAAAGTAATGAAGCCTCATGTGATGGCTCAATGCAACTACTGATGGTGTGCATATTGCTTTTAAAGTTAAACTATTGCCTCTTGTTTATTACCCTGGATGCTGATGAGGCAGATACATAATAGCACCTATTTTAAATCAGCCAAAAGGAAAACAAAACCACATCACAGTCATAGATTCTGCACATCTCTGAGAGAAATGTGTTCTTCCTCTCTCCTGACTCTTGTTATTGCGCAGGTAGGCCTACAATAGATTGTCAGATTAAAATGAGAAGGCCCACTGGGTCTCTAGCATAAAATATTTGACCTATTTATTTCATAAACCAGTTACCGCCAGAACCTGTGGGAGGGTTTTTAGCCTTTTTGTGTCGGTGAGAAAATCCCTTCTCTCAGTGTGTCATGGTACACATAAGACTTTTATTATTACAAATGTTTCGAATGAAATTGTATTGTAAGTTTTAGCTATTTTAGGGATTTATGCTTAAGGTATAATAACTAATATATACAAATATGGAGATACATTATTTAGCGAAGTATCTGTTTAAGCCAAACAGCATAAAACACACCTGCTCTTATTGATATAACTGGAATTATAACACATTCTTGTTCAAGGTCCTAAATATACAAAACCAAGCAAGTCCACACACACTCCGTTTCTCTGTGGAACTGTGTCTTTATTCGTGTTTATTGTTAATGCTTTGTTTATTTTCCTTTTTTATTATTATTTAAAAGCACCCAAGTTTATTGTCTCAGTTTGAGAAGCAAAATAATATGTTTTAAAAAGATCTGTCAATGTGTCAATGAATGATTTGGCCTCTGAAATACTTTTTAATGTGAATACATATTTTAATTCATAAAATATGACCAGGGATCAGCGTGTGAATTAAACCACAGTCAGCATGTATACTGTTATTTAAAAAAAAAAAAGTAAATGAACCTAGTCAGGTTCAACAAAACAAGGAAAGCAGTCGTGTGTTTTAACATGAAGGAAGTATTTACACCTTCATGTTGTCTATGGTTAAAACACGCAAAGGAAAAAATGACAGTAAGAGTAGGTTCTGTTGCAGCCCATTGACCTCCAGCTATGCAGTGTTATTTTTACTTTGGACTGCATGAGACTCTTTTCACACAAATTCAAAGGACGGTGACTTATATGAGATTACCTTTGCAGCAACATAGTAAAGTGAGTGGAGAGTTTCAGTACAGACTTTTCTCTACACAGATGTACCTTCTGAACCAGAGAGTATTTATGCATCTTGAAAAGTCAAGCTAGCTGGTAAACAGACGGAAAAAATATAAAAAGAAACACTGGTCCTGACTGAAATGAGGGCAAAATACAAGGAGGAAGGTAAATGTTGACACTAGTGTACCAGCAGCAGAGTGAGTTGTACAACTGGGTGAGCAGAGGTTGTATAACTGTGATGTCATCCTCGCTTCACTGACCTGCTGGCCCAATGACCTACTTTCTTCCTCCTCCTCCAATCTAACTTAATCACAGCTCCACAGGCAACACCTTCCTGCTCTTACTAATAACACTGCGCTCCCTGGCAACACAAGTCCTTTAAAGCCACACATTTTACACAGATAGCACCTTCACAAAAGACGGCAGTATGGCATCCCACTGTCTGCATATCAGATTTCCCTATTTATTCACATTATTTACAAAGGCGTCCTGGTGTTCCCTGAGCCTCAGCGGGCACAGGCGTCGCGGGCACAGGCGTCAAGGAAACAGCGCCAGACATGTAAACAGCCAATTTTCAACATAATGTCAACCGTACAAAATGTCAACCGTATAGACTAGCACAGACGTATTCAAATGAAAACAACTGACACAAGTGTTTTTCACCCTGACACACATCAAATCATAGACTGAAAACACTTTTTAATAATAATTGTCCTATTGTTTACACAGTATAGTTGAAGGTCTGTTGATCACATACTGAGATGTAGGGCAGCAGAGCTGTGAGGAAATGAGTCACTCTGAAGTGGATCTGTGGCGCTGCTCATCAAGCACCCGGCTGCACCCCTCCACACCCGGTGCAGAGAAGCCAGCACAGCAACAGTGTTAATGGGCAACACCATGGCAACCAGCCTCACCGTGCGGAGCTAAAATAGCCTGGCTGAATTCCTCCACAGATCGCACTTCCTTCGTCATACACTGAGAACTATTAGACTTAAGTTTGAAGTCTGTGCCTGTAAAACAATGGCACCTCTGCATCCTCGTCATGTAAACAGTAATGTTTATTTTCTGATGGAGTGGCCTGCTTTCTCCATCAATTAGACACAACCAATCCCTCCCATTGTTATTGTATTATGAAGCAGATTCTCAGGGAGTGTTTCTAGTATTGAATTAAGAGACACTGTTAACTGAGAGAGAGTACAGCAGTGCTAAAAAAAATATATATACAGTATGTAGGCTCAGACATTCATTAAGGTGACATAAAATGTACCCTGTGATGATAATCCAAATGTTTACCAAAGGACCAGTATTTAATATCCACCAGCAGGTATACAACTATTCTCATACACCACACAGGACAGGATAATATCACTGCATATTAGAAAACCTGTTTAATGTTGGAAGGTACTACTTGTTCATAAGGCTGGACCAGCAGTTGACAATACAGATGCAGGATAAAGCCTCAAACAGATCTTTGAAATTCTTCAGGATGCATCCCTTATAACCAATATGCTGCAGTGTTTCCCCTAGGATGGAGTCATAGCAGCGGTGCTAAGGCACGTGGGCCCAGCATAATGTGAGCACGGAGTGCGTGGAATGTTTTAGTGTGTGCACGTGCAAAGTGCGCCCCGCCAATTTGTTTATATGAGTCTGCCAGCACAAGAAAAGCTCTTGGGGCCTAGTACCAGGGCCGGTTCTAGACAATTTGCTGCCCTAGGCGACATTTTATATATAAAGAATAAATGAAAAATCTCTACAAAAGACAAATACACTACAAAAACCGAAACTTATTGACATAGGTCATGTACGTCAAAATGGCTTCAAATGTATTCAGTATTGTATGAACATGTTTTAATTGGGGGGTGGAAGTCACATCCTCTAGGGGGGTCTGGGGGGATTTTTTTTAACATGTTAAGGTAAAATGCTTCAATCTGGTGCACTTTGAGCACACACTTACTAGAGACCTGGGGCCGTATTCACAAAGGATCTTAGGGCTAAAAGTAGCTCCTAACTGGCGAATTTAGGAGAAACTCCTAAACATAATGGGCGTGTCAGTCTTAAATTTAGGACTCCTAATTTTATTCACTAAGAGCAATTCACAATGTGAATTGCTCTTAGTGAATAAAATTAGGAGTCCTAAATTTAAGACTGACACGCCCATTATGTTTAGGAGTTTCTCCTAAATTCGCCAGTTAGGAGCTNCACAAAGCATTTTATCTTACCGCTAGGAGTGCTCCTAACTCGCGCTAAAACATTTTACGTAGGAGTTTTTTCTTAAAAGTTATTCACAAAGCCGCTGAGACCTACTCATACTAAGGATAAAGAGTGACCGCCGTTGCTATGGATTACGTCGATTCTCGTGCATGACTTTAGAAGCGGTCAGTACGGTGATTGGTTGTTCAGAGCAGGCGGTCTCGGTGAAACTCATCCGCAACATCCCACAAACGAGCCCACTAAATCACCGAAAAACAAGGAAATAGCCTAGGCTAGAAATGTATTCCTATCAAATAGTTATGGACAGTGCAGTTAGCAGAATACACGCATGATGACAAGTTTGTGCAGACCACGATAATGACGTTGTATATGCACGTTAAAGAGAGAGAGCAAACAATAAAAATACGTAAATTGCATTAAATCAGGAGGCAATTAAAAGCACCCTGCAAACTATTATCCAATGAGCATATTTCCAGCACTTAAACACTTTCAATAACAGCCCATACCGCCGTTCAAGTCCCCCTATCATGATGAATGAAAACAATCTGCGTGTTGATGGAATGTACTTTCTTTCTATTGACGAACACGTCCTCATCTTTTGATGGCGCAATTATTTTTATGTGCGTCCTGTCAATAGCACCGACCACACCGGGCATACCTGCAATTGCCATGAAGTTGGCTTTGATTCTGTGTAGTTGTTGATTGTCCAAAGGAAACCGGATAAACTGTTGGATGATATGTGGTCTAGAGAGCGCGTTGATGGTTTGGTTTATGGCACAGCTGACTGATGGTTGCGATATTCCTAAATCGTCGGCATTGCAAAGTTGCATTTTCCCTGTTGCTAAATATCGTAGTGTTGCCAAACATTTTATTTCCGGACTAATCGGGTTATTCCTGTTAGTCGGGGATGTTATTGCATCCCGCACTAATTCCACAACAAGTTTGATACCCTCACGATTTAGCCTATATCTCTTGATCAATTCACAGTCTTCCATTGTCTCCAAAACATTTCGTCTCGCAGCCATTTTCAGATTCTTTGTGAATAGGTCTTACTGAGTTAGGAGTCCTCTCGAGGACTTTTAAGCTCTCCTAAACTTAGGTGCTACTTTTAGGCCTAAAATACTTTGTGAATTTCTCTTAGTGAATAAAATTAGGAGTCCTACATTTAAGACTGACACGCCCATTATGTTTAGGAGTTTCTCCTAAATTCGCCAGTTAGGAGCTACTTTTAGCCCTAAGATCCTTGTGAATACGGCCCTGATCTAGGGGGTACAACTCTAAAAACGCCCATATGAAAAAAGATCGGTTTACATTTTAATAATCAAATAATTATGTGAACATAACCAATAACCTACCATAGCCAATAACAAATAAATGTAGCTTATTTTATTTTTGTTGTTCATTCATATCTTATTTTACCTAGTTAACCTAGCGCCCAACGTACAGGGCAAATTAAACGTGTAAGGGGTGAAAAGGGTGTTACATTTACTTAATTATGAATGTTGTGACATCAAGGCCGAACATTTGGATGAGCGCCAACGGTCAAAAATGTTTTTTCCCTTCCAGAGCNCGAGTTAGGAGCACTCCTAGCGGTAAGATAAAATGCTTTGTGAATACGGTCCCTGATCTAGGGGGTACAACTCTAAAAACGCCCATATGAAAAAGATCGGTTTAGATTTTAATAATCAAATAAGTATGTGAACATAACCAATAACCTACCACAGCCAATAACAAATAAATGTAGCTTATTTTATTTTTGTTGTTCATTCATATCTTATTTTACCTTAACATTTATTTATTCATGCATATTTTTGTATCTCTCCAACTTTAAACGATATTTTTGGTTAACTGTCCTATAGTATATATTGGAATGATTTCAAACCTGTTTTTATTTATCCTAATAATGATAAAGGAGTGCCTTGGAAATATGTGTTTACATAATTTGTAAACAGATATTTGTTTGAGACCCACTGAGATAACTTAGACTAAAATTAACTATCTTAACACTCAGAGTCCTTTACCTCACTGAGCCTCTCAGTCTGACAGGAGAGCTCTCCTCCACCATGGTTGTAGAAACATCTACTTCTTATATCCGTTAGCGCAGCTAGCACCAGATTCTAATAACAACAGCGCCGGTACCGGTGCGCCCTCTCTCTCTCTCCCTCGCTCGCTCTCTCGCTCCCACTTTGGCTGTGAGCTGCCCAACATCCCCAACTTTCATCACTTACAGCACCTATGTCAAAAATCGGCCCTGCCAGTACATACAGTGGCAATGTCTCAAGATTTAGCAAAAATAGCTGCGCCGCCGCTATTTGTATATAGGGGAAACACTGTGCTGATATACCAAGCTTTTCTATTATGCTGAAGCTGTCTGGTAGGGCTTGTATCACATGGTTAGCTAAATTGGTGTCATAGAAACCCTTGAGTTTCTTCATTAGTTTTCTTCTACGTCATACCCTGAAACCCGAGAGTAGGGGATTAGTGAACCTCTAAAAGATCCCAGGGTTGAACAAACATTCCTAGAAAGACAAGTAACTTCAGTCGTCCGTTTACAATTTAAAATCACTGGAACATTAGACATCAATACAGCCTCTTGCAAAACATACTCGGTACACAGGTGAAGGTCAAATCCTGCCCCAAGTGAAATATCTATGATAATTATATTCAGAGCCCCAAGTGTGGGAAATATCGAGGTTTCGAGGATAATAGTATTCAGATGTTTAACAGCCAGTAGGCGGAGGTCACACAAATCCACAAAAACACATGAATGAATAAATGACTCAGTCTCACATCCTGTCTGAAGCAGAATCTAGGCGTGCACATCCAGGCAGCATCTACAAAGAACATGAATATGATAGTGTTTAAAACCACATACTGCAAATCTAATCTTCTGCATAACACCTACTAAATAAAAAACTAAACATGCCATTACCAGCCGACTAAAGTATAATAAATAAAAGTGTACATTCTGCATCACAAGACAATATTGATCATAATGTCATTTGTGCAAGAATAGTAAATTAACAATCCCTCTTTCACTCAATTTGATATGTTTCTGTATTATATGAAGGCAAATAGAAATTATTAAATATCTATGCAATTTCAAACACAGCCTATATATCAAATATTGTGTTTGCCAGTTTTCTTATATATGTTGTCACCTTTGCTGTAACATTGAAGAACAAATAAAGGATTTTTGTTACAGATTCAAAGGTAGAGAAATAGGCATAGAGGTTTCCTCGTGACTAGGATGTGAGATCGACCATGGATGGTTTTAATAATTTCATGGTCACTTGGCCTTTAAGTATTAAAACCCACAACAAGCTTGTCAACAGGGCCCACCACACTGAGGCACAGCGGTACCACTCAAACCCTCGACTGGAGGCAGCAAGCTGTGTTTCCTCTTAAAGCACACATCCACAGGCACAGCAGCACAAAATGGTCTTTGTTTTGCTTTTTTCCTCCACAGCCCACAGACAGGAATGTTTGAGGGGCTAGCAGCAGCGGTTGGCAGGGGCCACCTCCACTGCTGCTGGCCTCCTGTCCCAGTGGAGAAGAAAGTCGGTCAGGGGCCTCATACCGGTGCCAAGTAGGTCATTTGTGTTCAGAAGGAGTACTGGCGGCAAAATAGAAGCATCATGGAGGACTACAGACACGCAGCCCTGTCAGACAGAGCCTATGTTCAAAATATATCACTGATACTGTATGTGACCACCAACACTGAATCTGGACATATTTAAATTATATTTATGCTAAACAGCTAGCCTTATATTAAGAATCGACATGTTGTCCCTACAATAAACAGTAAAGCAAGTATGAACCATTAGAAACCTTAATAACTAAGGCCTTAACTTGACTTTGTAGTGTCCGGGAAGACTTTGCACCATATGTATTATACTCTACAGATGAATGTGTCAAAGTTAGAATCACACTTTATTGACTGCAGCTCATCTCAGATAAAGAGAGCCCTTCCATACCATGCCACTGCACGATCCTAAATTAAACACCATTCATCATGCAGAAGTAAACAGCTGATCCAGGATCTGCCTCCTCAAAAGACCCATTCAAACATGCATTGTAGTAAACATTTAAACTTGTGGTTATTATTGCTGAAACAATGAGACAGTATGACAACTATTAAATCATCAATCAAGCAAAATGCACCATTCTAGCTTTTGTCTGAATTGCAGACTAAACATATTGTTTTTGTTGTAAATCAATAATGAAAATACTTGTTGGTTACAGCCATAGTTACAATACTGTTTTAACCTTAAATTAAGAAATCATGCTACCTAATGTCCAGAATATTGTTTACGCTTCTCAAGTGTTATCAAAACAAGGCACACTCAAGACGTCAACTTCATCACGTTTTAAACTTTTCTTTGAAACATTTTAACCCATCATGAGCTGCTTCAGAAGCTTTAGTTATATTTAATAGTAAATAATAATGTTCAAGCAGCAAATAGGACTTGTGTAGAGACACTTAAGGAGCTACATTTCATAGTCTGCTGTCCATTTACACTTAAGACAAGATAAGAAAATAACTAAGCAGTTGGTTGCAGTTCACAAACATCCATTCAACCCTCACATCATATGCATCAAATGCGCATTAAATTCAATTTTCATTATACTTATGTGAAACATCGGTAGACTGAAGAACAAAAATAGAACATTACTGAATTGGTGTATAACGTCTCTCCAAAAGCTCTAGATAATTATAATTATCCAAGTGTACAATCCCTTACCTTGTTTCCTTGAGTGGTGGTCAATTAAGGAACCGCTTCACCTCATGATGGATGAGTCAACTCTGAATTCTTCATCTGATGAACGGAAAGAGAAAAGCTAGAATTGTTAAATAGTAACTAACGTGTGGCTTAAAGCGAAGAAACTCCCATTTCTGAATCAGAACTGAAGCGTCTGGGTTACCATAAGCCTCGTACAGCACTGCAAAATAAGAGAACAGCTCTAAACACATGCACTGTCAAACACACACCCACACACAGACTCACACGACTCTTGGCAGTTCATTCATTAGCAACCCGCGCCCCCGGCCATCAGCTGGGAAGAACATTTACTTCCAGGAAGCGTAAACAACCATTTGCTCCGAGAAGTGCATTAATGTGAGGTTACTTTGTTTCATTATTGTAAAAAAGGTTGCTTAGGTGTGAGTGTACATGTGAGTGTTTCAGCAAAGGCTTTGGAAATGTAATAACCCTTTTACTGATAAAGAATCCATGTAAAGAATTATATCACACTACTGAGTTAAGTCTCATCCAGTGATGATTTATTGGCCTCAAATAAAAAATAAAAAGATTTATTGGTAGGATAACTATCATATTCTTATGACAAACCTCTTGAATGTATTGGTATCTTTTAGTTGAATGAGTAGTAAATACCAATCACAGGTTCATGAAATGGAGCCTTTAAACTAATGTTGTTGAACAGACTTACTTCCTTATGTGTTCATAGCATGTTATCTGTATGTAATTAAAGTTAAAATTACTTAATTAATTGTCAATAAAAGGTTCCCTGAACTCAAAATGCATCAAATCTTTGATATGAGAGGCTGGATCTGGCAAACACATTTATGTTGTTGATCGATGATTTAAACAGATAAAGAAATACAATTAAATAAATGAATAACAAGTATTGCTAAGTAAAAGTGTTGTTGGTTAATTTCCTGTTACATTATTATTTTTGTTATATCAATGTTTTCTAGTTGACCTCATTTATTTTGTAGGCCAAGCCACTTAATTGCAGTGACATCATGATGTTGTTTTAATGACAACAATCACCTCATCACATAGTTTGGTAACACAATGGCCGTTTCTCAATCGCGAGGATGCTTGCTTGGTAGCACATGTCTTCCGAGTCACTTGCTTCAGAAGCTAGGCAAGAATCCTTCCTGGCATTCGGAAAACGAAGAGTGGAACAGGCTAGCAAGTGTGCAGGTGTGCGTCATATGAGAGGCCCCGTCTTACATTTTCCGCCACAGATTTGGGGAAATTGGTCTGTGCGCAAAGCATTGTGGGGATTTTAAGGACGCGAAGTCTACCCATGTGCAGCCTCGAAATTACCCCCAAACCAAGGACGCGGCCTCGGTGGAATTCCAAGTATGCTGGAGATTGGAACAGTCCTTCGGCGGCACTCGAGGACGTAGCATCCTTGAAATATTGGCTTGGAAGCCAGTTTCCTCGAGATTGAGAAACGGCCACATGTTGTCGGCTTGAAGCCCGGGAAGAGAAGAAAGGAGGGCACACAGTAAGTACAGTCAATATATATGTCCGAAACTGTTGCCGAGGCGAGGGGAGAGGGGGTCCAGAAGTGCGCCACCCAGGCGCCAATGAAAGCGTGGGCGACGTCCAAAACCGCCGTTGAGGTGGTGAAACAGCGAGAGTGTCCACACGAGGCCGACCAGGAATGGTCGAACCTCCTCTCAGGCACCGGAAAAACTCAAAAGGGTCGTCCTGTCCACGATCAAAAACAGGTAGGTGAAATTGTGAGAGCATCCACACGAGATTCTCGTGTGGATGCTCTCACAATTTCACCTACCTGTTTTTGATCGTGGACAGGACGACCCTTTTGAGTTTTTCCGGTGCCTGAGAGGAGGTTCGACCATNAAGATTGATGCAAAACAAGTGATATTTGACCTTTTTAGACAGATTTAGCAAAAAAAAACTCTTCTGGGGCCATTTGGGTGGATTTTCCTTATCTCTGGCCCCCCTTCTTCGATTTTGACATTTGACATCTCTTTCTGACCTTTAGAGCCAATAGAATCGAAGGGAAATCGTCCCGCACACTCATGTTAAAAAAAGATGGCGTCTTCGCACATTCAATCTCTCTACTATTTTAAAACGGAATTGCAGTTTTATTGCTTATAGATTATCAGAACATTTCAAAGGGGACACAGCCACATTGGATATTAACCTATGGATTAACTACATCATCGTTTTTATCGTTTTAATGCCATTGAAGACCAGTTTTGACCAGACAAAACCAAGGTAAGCCATTTAAGCGTTGTAGGCTACGTAGCGCCACATGTGTTGATGTACGTTTTTGTTGATAACGTCGCGAGTTTGTATCTTTCAGTGTTGAGGTGGGCACAGTTAGATTCTGTGTCTTTACGATCATAAACCATGTGTTGGATGTGCAGCTAGGATAAGTAATAAGGGAGCTAGGAGTGATTTTCGGTGCAGTAATAGGTTAGCATTTTTGGCTCGGGGCTAATTCAGAGGCTCACTGTTAGCATTGTGTGTTTTTTTTGTAAAAAAAATGAAAAAGATCAGTTAAATGAGTTTTTTCCCGTTATAGGGATATAAAATATTCATAGTTTATTCAATATTAAGGTTCCTTAGTCTACGTTTTTTCCTGCAAATGATGCGATTTCGGCCCCGGAACCGGGTCCGTGGGGCTTAAGAGGTTTAACGGCAAAGCGCGAATGAGATATGACGATACAGTATTAATTGCAGGTTAGCAGTGTTCCCACTGAATAAAATGTTTGTGTCAGGAGGGCAATCCGCCCTGAAGGAACCCCGGTGACATGCACGGCAGATGTGACTTGCAAACAAAAGGGGGTTTTCACACCGGAGGGGCAGCGTCAGGGGGAGGTGATTACATCTGTGTAATCTACATTTGACATTAACACTGGTGATTAAAGGCTGATAGAATTTTCTATTTTGGTTTGAAATTAGAAACATTTGAGTTGATATCTAGATGGCATTTATGGCAGCCCTTTAAGGCATCATCGGTGTTGTTTTAGAATCATATTTGTTGCACAGTCAGCATGGCAAAAATAAACACAGGAATTAATACATCTGCATATGTACAGGCTGACTTGATAAAGTACTATAGCATCTTTGTGAGGTCGTCCCTTTTGCTGTTTGGAGCCTTTCAAACAGCCAACAGTAAACACAAAGCCTCTTCACAAAGTAATTGACTTTATTGTCTTTCTGCCACTGTTATGGAATTTCTTGTTGACTCTTATGACGTGTCTTCCTCAGTGGTACAGTACATTATAGTCATGCCTGACAGCATCAATACAAGCAAACACAAACACAGCTGTGGGCAGCTGGGTGAAAACTTTATGTGGACGCTCGACTCACTTTGGTAACCTCATCCCAAGGTAAGGCCTTCCATTACTGCCAAATTACACGCAAAGAACAACACACCAGCTATCCAAACTGAAGTAAGCATGAAAGCTGCTATTACACAAGCAGCGCTGAGTGTAAAGCTCTTTGCTTGTTAGGAGGGTCGATCATGTGTGCGATTTTGTTTTAAAGTAATCATGTAATTTGAAGTGTGCGCATGTATGTACATGAGTGCTCTTGCAGGAGTGCTTTCCTGTCTGTTTTTAGTAGGGGTAGGATTAGGTAAGGGTTAGGGTGAGGGCTGGAAATAAAGACAGATGACAATTATGAATGAATGATGACCAAAATGATTTGCAAATGTTGATGAAGTCAAATTCAAAAAGAGAAATTACTTGAAATTAGCTGAGAAATAAACTTTAACTGCCGTTGCTGCTCATGGATTCAGTTGACATTAGCAAAAGCGTTCACTTATAATATTTATCTCCATTCCATAATGTAGGGGAAAGGGCTCTTCATCACTTTTTCAGTATATAATGGATTCAATTCAAACATTTTACTGTGTGAAAACTTGCTCCGTAGAGTTGGATAACCAGCTGGGTAAACAGGCTTCAGACCTTCAGAGATGACTAAATGTTCCTGGTTCACCATGAGGCATTATTTTATGACAATTTAATAAATAGTTTATTGTAAAAAAACTGCAGGTGGGATAAAAGGGTCTTTGTTAAACATATTCATTTCATACAGTATTCATAAGAGTAAGAGGTTTTCTTACCTACATTTAGCAAGAGTCCGTCTTCACAGGAAATTATAAATGTGCTGGGATATAATCTAATATTATATTGTACAGTGATAATACAATGATACTTACAGTGAAACATCATATGTCAAAATTGCACAATTACTCACGTAATATCATTCAAAGTGGATTCCTGTTCCAATCTGCATGAGTAACATGTTATTATCTAGAGATTTTAATTAAGCAGATTCCAAAATGATCAGATTCACAACAGTGATTTCATTTAGGTTTATGTTACCCAGTAGCTTCACGATTGAAGTTATTGCGTGATTCCTTATTATTAACAGTGAATATTATACTTTCAAGTTCTGGTTTGCATCCTTCATTTCATGCACAAGATGGAAACATAATTAAGAAATGGATGAAGGATGTGGCCATATGAGCCAAATGCACAATTGGTTTTCATGATTTCTACAATGTGGAAAAACAATCAACTCAGAGGCTTGTCATGTTTTATAAGGTTAACTAATGGTCTTTGTTGCAAGACGTGACATTGTAATAGATTACTCTCCCTGCTAATGTTTCTTTGGTTTCCAAACATGAACATCAGTCAAAGCTTGCAGATAAACATTTCTGTAATTTACGACACTGGGCCCAGTTTTTTAAGCAAAAGTTTGACCTTTGACCTCTTCTGAGGTGAGTTTGATGAGGATTTCGAAATGACCATCACATCTGTCATTTAAACTGCTAGCATTAGGTTAACCTAGCTTAGCACAATTTCTTGAAACAGGAGTAAACAGCAAGCCCGGTATAAACTAGGAATTCCCATTTTTACAGGAACATTTTTTAATAGATTAATCAATCAAAATGTGTGGTAATTTTACCTTTGGACAGAGCCAGGCTGTCAAACCGCAAAATAAATCAAAACCTTATATTAATTGATTTTGAAAATATCCTCAAATTAAAACACAGCAAAGACTTTAATCTGTGTTGTTGCATCAAGGTGCGACAGAGTGTGAATCATGATAGTAACCTTCCCTCAATGCCTTTGGGTTTCCCCTCAAACAAACCAATTACAGTAGTGCATGCAAATACAAGTCAGGCTCATATTAAAAGAAAACTCTTCAAAGGGCACGACATTTCAGTATTTCTAAATAATGTTGGACCAAGGGGAGCTTTCTCTAGAGCTTTTAGGAGAAAAGAAAAACATCAGTCACTACATGTGTAAATGATACGTAGGGCCACACACAGAATCCAAGCAAAGGCATCTCCAACACTTGGATTGTGAAGCATTCTGTAAAATCTGTTACAACATGATGAGTGCTACAAATACATCTTACAAATGAATGAGTTATCTCCTGGATGATGGTTTAGATGTAGGCCTAAATGTGATGAATTAAAGGTATTTGAGCTACAAATAGCCACAGCCACGCACAATGCTATTGACTGTGCTGTTGCTGTTGGAGAACATTGATAATGCAACACAATTTGTGCAATTGCTTGTTTTTGCAGTTTTTCTCATTGACAGGTCTAATGAGGGAAGCTGCCATTCGTAGAATCATGTTGACGGATGTTTAAGGGCGTTCCATTATCTATTCAATGCTTCCTTTGGGAGTTGAGATAATGCCAGTGCACGTGTGAGCAGTCGCACAAGGACATACTTTTGTTTCATATCTCACAGTTTACGTAACTAACATAGATTATTGTGACCATTTCGATCAGTCATCAGCATTTGTTATGTATCACTGATATCAACACCTCAAAGGGCCTTAACAATTAGACTAAACTGCAAAAACAATAGGCAGGCTATCTTGCGTTCCTCTTGCTTATTGCCTGATCTCCACTGTTGAGCCTTCATTCATAATAATAAAGAAAAGTGGGAGATTATAGAGGACAGAGAGATTAGTGTAGGAGGATGACATGGGTGGGGATGAGTGTGATGACTCCCAGGAATTGATTGATTATAAATGCGGTCCACTTGTGTTGCTAATGATCTAAAATAAAGTAATATCAGAATTCCAAAGACAAAGCAAGACTGTTATTTATTCAAGTTTGTTTTCACAAAAACTGCGTAAAACTGTTTAAAATCTGTCATATGTGCAGTAATAGAATATGATGTTTTTTTGCTTTCATTGCAGATAATAAAGAATATAAATCAAGACATCTTTTTAAACACATTTTATTTGTGCATAAGCAACAAAATATGCCTTTCCAGGACCACAATGTCACATATTTTTCCGGTAAATCTTTAGCTGAATAAAGCATCAGGGGTTATTATAGTATTATGTCTTCTGGTTAATTGTAACAGATCTAAATGAATTATAGTGCCTAGTAATATCTAAACCCTCACACAAGCAGCTTCACACAAAGACCAAGACATTACCTGACTTTTATGAGCAAATGTAGTTAAATAATTATCCCTAATGAGTGTTTCAAATAAGGAGGGTGATTTAAATTGACATTATAGTCTGAATGCATGGACAAAAGTTGAAATTAAAGTCACATTTCATGAAAAAATAATCAGTACATTCACGTAATTTTCATGATCTGTAATATCCAAAGCTTTGAAAGTTGGAAACATTTTTTTTTCTAAAGTAAGAGCATGATTAAAATTAAAAGACACATTTAGGTTTCCCTTTTTACATGTAATCTCCTGGTTTGGTAAAGGTACACTCTAAAAACAAATGCCTTGGCTCAACAAAGAAAATCAATGCAACAGTTTGCATCAATGTTTATTGAGTTATGACAACTTCTAATGAAATTGTGTTAAACCAACAAACTTATTTGAGTTAGGGGAGAAGGCTTTTCCTCTACAATCAGAGGTGTTTTTAATTACCACTTACTTAATAATTGGTAGCATAAACACAAGTTTTTAAGTTGATTACTCAAAACATTAAGTTGTTCCGACTAGTTTTACCACTTGATTTAAAAGGAATCTTAAGTTGTATGTACTTAATTACCATTATTATGAACAACCTTTTATAAATTAAGTTGCTTCAAATATATTGTATTCAATTGTTGTTGTTTTTTTAGCTTTTTCATGTTTTTGCCTTTAACATTTTTTTTTTATTAATTCCACAACAAAAATATTAGGCAATTCACTTTTTATTTTGAACTGCAGTTGTTTATTTCAACACATGATGTTTCAATCAGGAGAGACTTCATTTTGTTTGAACATTTATTGACACATGTGATAAGGTGCATGAACACCTGAAATCACAGCTGACTGCAGGAGAGAGGAGAACCATTTTATAGTTTGGCTGCAGCACGTTGATTGGCTGCTGGAGAATGAGCTGAAATGTAATAGGTTAAAGAGAACGGCTGTGATGAGCTGATTATATGCAGCTGCGGAGTGAACGTATAAACACCCAGTCTTCCTGAAAGAACTTGCGCTGAGCTTCATTTAAATCTTGAAAAAAAGATAAATAACACAAATTTAAATTGCCTCACAAATAATAAATAAACACATTAGCCATATTACCATGGGAAATGGGGACACAGCAAATAAATGTTGCCATCACAACAAAGTTAGAGGCCTTTGCATATTTAAAACCAGTGCCAAATATGTAAAATCTGTAAAGTTTTTTCAAAACTACAGTAACAAACTCTCAATGGCCACCAATCTGCAGATCACACACATCTATTTTACAAAAGATGTAACAAAGATGTTTACACTGCCGACAGTCATTATTTCAAACAGTATTAACACATTTAACGCAGACTGCTTGCTCATTCATTTGTTTCCCTCGACCACAATGGTTGCCATCGTATGGTCAGATGGACCACTTTTCAATTTTAAACAATCCTTTTCCCATGTCATTGCTGCCAACACCTATTCATGCTGAATGTTGCTAATATATGATTGATTGGGGATGTGGCCAAAAGTGCATATGCTTAAAATGTAACTGACAGAGAGCAGATGCTTTTGTCCTGTGTCCACTGTGCCCGTGGATTTTATTTATATTCCAGATTTTTTAATTACGTCCGCTAAACTCCTTGAAAAGGTCCTCTTCCTTTTCTCCAAGGGTACACAACAAGCAGCGGATGGCTATAGTTCCTCTGCGTACTTCAATTGTATTGTGCTATTTTTGAAAAAGGAAAAAAAGAGAAATTACCTAAATTAATATATTCTGAATGGGTGACTGCCAACAACTTGCATTTCAATGACAACTCTAAATAACGATCCAACCTCAAGAAGCATGTCCTTGATCTGCTTCACCAAGATTTTCTTTTAATAAAAAGTTATAGCACAATAGTAACCAAAGTATTTTTACACTCACAGTAGCCTCTACTACTTTGTATCCTCTCACATAACTATTCACAGTTCAAAGGCTGCTAATTTTGGTCAAGCAGCAATTTGCCTATACAGTGCAACTACAAGGCCATCTACTGTATTTGAATGACAAAAGATGACACTCACCTTAAAATGTCCTTTGTATATTTGTATTTGTCTTAACTGTCGGAACTTGTCCAGGCATGTTAAGTGGGAGTGGACTTGAAATCCTTAACTCAAGGTGTAGAACAATTAAGTTATCAAGCCAATTGCATTACTTACTAGAACTTGAATTTTGTTTTAAGTCAATTAACGCAGAAATCCGAGTTTAAATTACACACAATATTAAGTTGATGTAATTACCAACATTATTACTTCAACACAACTTATAAATTAATGTTTGCAACTTAAAATGTTTATCTAAATCAATTAATCCAAATTTGTATCTTGCAACCATGCATTTAATTAAGTGGTGGTAAAAGGTCCCCTGAATGACATTTTAGAGTGTAAATACATCATGGCTGTTAATCAGAAACATCATACATCCATTGTTGTCTTCATTTTCTTATGCGTGCTACAATTAGACCACCATGGTGGATGACAGCATATTGATGAAGTATTTTTTATATTATTTTGAAATTGAATCTGAATTTGAAGAATTCAGATTCAGAAAGTGTGAGTTTCTAAAATATGTGCATTTCACCTTGATCATTATAATGTGGCTCAAATGGCTTTGGTATAAATTAAGAATAATTATTGTCCTTAATATGACAATAACCATATCGTTGCAATCTACTTTTGTGATTTCCCACACGTTCCCTGCACTCAGCTCACAGTAACAGTATAAATGACAGCAGGACATCTTACTGGTGATTGTTGCCCCGCTCTTTACCATTACAACTTAATCAGAAAAATAGGGCTTCAGTATGAATCAGAGCCAAAATTGCCCTTCAAGATAAGTATAGCATGTATAGCTGCTTTTCTGACATGAAGTTGGGGTGATAGCCTCAAATAACATCCATACACTTAAAATATAATGCAATGCAAAAAAACAAACTACAGCAACACAGTATTGTATGAACATCTCTCCCAGGTTCAACCACAGTGTAACCATCACAAAAGGAAGTATGTAATAGGTTTACATTATATTTTATATAATGAAATTGTGTTTCTTGATCATCAAAGCTAAACAATGAAAAAGTGAACATAAGGTGTAAACACAGGTAGTCCTAAAAGACAAGGAACAAGCATAACAAACATACCGTTCAATACCACACATTGCATTTATAGCCATAAGTTAAGATTTAAATCAAAAGTGTAAGCAAATGTGAACAAAGCTAATGTGAAGATATAAACAACATAAGCATGTTCCATGAGGATGTTTAGCATTATTAATACATGTATTTGCTTGATCCTTTGTTATGGTCCCAAGTCACCTTACTCTGAATGTTCTATCTCTTCATCACCGCTCACTGCTCCCTGAAGCTTTTACGCTCAGCCAACCTGTTGATCAAAGCTCAACACTTTTTACGCACGAGGGGGCTTTAATGACGCAGCCAAGAGTCAGCACGTGAGGGGTGTGTGTGACCCAAGCCTTCATATTTATCTGACGTGAGATAGAAACTCTCAGAAGAGCAAGAAGTCAAGCGCACACAACCAGAAAAACAGACAACAAAGGCCACAGAGAGAGCGAAAGAGAGAGAGGAAAAGGGAGATGAGGACCTTCCAGAGCCAGAGCCGGAGCTCTGCCTCCAACAGCCCGAGCAGCGTCAGCAGCACGGCCAGCGGCACGCTCACTGCCCTGCTCATACTCACCATCCCAGTGTGCACGTGTAAGTCATTTATTTCATTATCTATCTATCTACCTATCTATCTATCTATCTATCTATCTATCTATCTATCTATCTATCTATCTATCTATCTATCTATCTATCTATCTATCTATCTATCTATCTATCGTTTACCTATTCTTCTCAAATGTAAGTTTGGAATTTTGGAAAACCACAACTACAGAAATAAATCAAATAAGTAATAACATTTTAGTTTGAACAATTACTAAATAATCTAATAATATGCTTAACAAGATGTAATAATGTGTTTTTATTATGTTGATTTATTTCTAGAGCAAATATCGGTTTTTCAAAAGCCGTTTTGGTTTATAAACCATTGCTGTTGTTTTCTGTCCAGAACCCAAATATATATTTTTTTACATAATATACAATGGAAGCTGTTTTGTGGATTTCTGGCATGAAAAATAACTTATACAGTATATAAATATTTGTAGACATTATTTTTCTATTTAAATCCATAAGTAGACTATTTGTTGCGGATCTAATTTAGATGGGCTCTAACAGTGACTTCATGATGTCAAAGTTGTATAAATATAAATATGAGCTTTTTAGATCCAACATCAGTTTTGGCGTAGTGATGCTGTTGACTTATCTTCTTACGTCAACATGTTTGACCATGTCAAAGCAGAAAATGATACAAGAGATTCTGTTGATCATTCCAGCAAAGCTTCAGCTGTTGGAATCCCTGTTACCTTCAGATGTAAATGTACTGTTTTGTGTAAGAATCCTAGAAGTTTTATAACTGTGTATCTTTGTGTCAAAAAAAAAACTGAAGGTGCTCCAGCAGAACTTCAGCAAGCCATAACAGATCAGAGGCAGCTACTCAGCCAGGTACGCAGCTTCATTTTATTCTATCTTCCTTCTTTATCCTTGCTGTCTGCGAGCCTGTCCATCATCCTCTGTGATGCTCCACAGATAGACGCTGCGTGCTCATCCTACTTCTCTGCAGACATGAAGATTTGGGTGATTCTGTTTTTCTTATTCTTTTATTATTTTGTACATGTATATTACAAGGTTAACGTACTTATTTAAACATTTTCTAACCAGGCATCTGATGTCTTAGAAGAACTCTGTGTCTTGATGCTGTTTCGGAAGTCAAAGGTACGCAATACTTGATTATCTTTTAATAGGGACAGTATGTCATTATACTTGCAAAAATTATTATATAATATTATTATTTTTTAATTCAATACAACATGGCACATTGAAACAGTTATAGTCCATAGTGTTTTACTAAAGATACTACAGCATAATGATTTACATCAACTAAAATACACATTTTGTGTCTTTTCAGGAGATGAAAGTGCAAGAAAAAAGTAAAAGGGTATGTAAACCTATATTTGATCTCTTATTATTTTCACTTAAAATGGTTAGACAAGAACAACAAAGCAATACAATTAAACCCTGAAAAATGTGTCGGCTTATTTGTGTTTCATGTCATGCATTGTATGTGCAGTTTTTATTTCATTACTCTAGAAAACAAGGCCCTGCCTTGTCAGAGGGCGCGGTAAGTAAGTTATGAGACAAATCCCCACCGTCACAGTATGTTGCCTGACTTAGGAAAGTGCCTCAGATTGTTTTACAAATATATTTCCTCCATTTTTTGTGTGCTAAGTACTTTTCAAATGCCCACATGTAGCGCAGAGCTATTGTAAGACATGAGCACGCCATTCCACAAATCACATTGCATGATGGAGGTAAACATTTACCTCTAAAGCACCAATGCATGCAGACAAATACTGCAACATGGATATCCCCTCATAAACTGTCCTCAGCTAATGAATGAAAATATTCCCACGTGATCTGTCCTCTGCATGTCAGACTGCATGTTTAGTTAAATAAGGTCTGTATGCCTTTGGCTGTTCACACTGGACAACAGAAATGTCAAGAAAACATCAAGAAACAAAGGAACACAGCAGAAACCTAATATCAACACTTCAAAATGTGGTAGCAGTTGTTTACTTTCAGAATAAGTATTTAAGTTCCCTAACGATTAAGGTAATTAGATATATTATGTACATTTTGACAATTAAAAAGTGTCCTTCTTGATATTTTTATTTGTCAGTAGAATCTGTTTGTGAAGTGAAAGCAAAGATTATGCATAGAAATGGTTAAACATTTTTGGATTATATACATGCATTGTTTGAATTTTTCTTTATGTGCATCTAGATAAAAACACCCAAGGATCCACATTGACTTGCCACAAACCATATTTCTTAAATGAAATATGAATCCATTTTGTCTCATGGTGCTCCATGGCTGGTTTACGAATAATGCAGAATGTGATGCTGAGGCTGCATTGGAAAGCATTTTGTATTTTTGTACTTTTGAGTTGCATGTTTTCCTTTGTTTACTGGAGATGAAACAGAGATCATCTCTTAGCCTCTTTCGACTCCATACGGAGCTGTCTGGCTCTATCTGTGTTTGTGTGTTTGTCAGACCCCTGTGTTGCACCCTCTCCTGCGTCTAGTTTCTCAACTCTATGCCAGAAAAGAGAGAGGACTCTCAATGCGCGTATGTACCACCCACGTCAGTTCACTTTCCATTACTCGTTTTGTTGCTTTTCAAATTAAGTCACTGATTAGCACACAAAAAAATGTATGCAAATAGTGCTATGCCTTAGAATTTCTGGTTTGATTCAGACCTCTTAATAGGTTCCTTGGTTGAAAATACAGGGAGATCAGATCAATAGAAATTATAAAATGGTAACATCCACATTAGAACTGCATTGTTCTTGTTTAGCAAATATTGCCATTGAAGTGTGCTTGTTACATGTTTTCCCCTTCCTGCTTACAAGTCAATAATGTTATGGCGGGCAGCTCTACTCACCCTCTGTACGACCACAGTGTACATTAGTTGTTATTTCCCAAGCTGCGAGCAATTATGGTCTAAAATGAGTTCCTCTAACAGGAGAACGTATTCCTCATTGCCATCAAGCGCTGACATTCATCAATTAGACACACAGGAAATGTGAGTGAGAAAAGTGGACCGTGTTTGTTTTGGATGTGAGTGTTTTATGTGTAATTTCTTCGTTGTTGGGAGAACATTTGAGGTAACGCGGAAAAAAAGTTGAAACTAAAGTTTAACTAATTTCAGTTCAATTCTTTGGGTTTTGTGTCCATACAGGGTGAAGCCCAGGGACCTGGAGGAATCCAGAGCAGAGGTTACTTTCTCTATCGGGTATGCACTTGTTAATGTCAGGAAATAAATTTAAAAAAACGAATTCTCAAAGGATAATATGATGAAATTCAATACAATTTTGTTATTCATTTCCAGCCACGAAATGGAAGACGATCATTGGAGTATGAGTAAAATTAAAGGTAATACATCGTTTTTGGCAACTTAACGATAGATTCTGACTGAAATATACATGTTACAATGACATTTGATCACTTAAAAATAAATAAGCTTGAAAATGACAATGACATAGTTTATAACAGATAACTTCCAGGTGGGATTGAGTCTATGCAAAGGACAGCACTGCAGTATCCAGTTTAACTCACTCCCATCATCAACTAGTAGCTAATATAAAGTAGCCACTGTCCCAGTTTTAATAAAACATGGCATACACATTGATCTTTTAATTTTTTCGTGATTAAACAAATCCTCTAAAACAGCCTGTCAATTTTAAGAAATGAAAGAAAATAACAATGTTAGGGTGGATGTTTTTTTTTAAAAACACTAAGTTTATGCCCCCTAACCACCCAGTAATTTTCAGACAATCCCTTAATGCCATCGATATCCTGTTATTATCTCAATGGCAGTAGTGATCTGATATATACATAGACTGCTAACTATTACATTATGTGACTAAAATATTAGGGAAGTGTGTTTATTCTTGTAATCTAACCATTAAAGTCTGAAGCATAATGTACAGAGACAACAAACCTGAGACCCGAGCTGCTGCACATCGACTGAGAGATCCAGACCTTACCCACAGCCATCCGCAACTGATGTATAGTGATGTCTAAATGTACACCAAGAAAATGAATAAAATACTATTCATTTGTCCAGATAATTTTTTTTGTTTCTTGTGTCATTTGCATTACAACTGCTACAATGCCGTCAGGTGTTGTACCATGTCTGTTACACATTATGAATATGAATGTTTCACTGCATTTGTGCAACAGGAACTGTAGCCTTTTGTAACTGTTTTAAATGAGACGTAATACGGAAACGAAGAGCCTTAATGACCAATCACACATATTTACAAATGCATTTTCTTTTTGTTTCCTTCTCCTTGCGAAAAACGAAATGATGAACCTTTTTATATTTGTTATTTTCGACCCCGAATATGTAATTAATTTCATTAACAGTAGATACAAATTTTTTTAAGAATTAAAATCCAAGGCAGGTTCAGACATATTGACATATAGGACACCACACTGCATATGAACATTTTACAGAACAGACACATTTTTTTATTTTGCTGTTTCTCAATGCCCCCTCTAGGTGGAGTTATTGCATTTCCAGCCATACATTTTGGTTTTGCCACAAATAACAATGCCTATAAGAGTTTTCAGAGTAGGCCTACATTTAAATTCCTTTGAGGGCCTTTTTTTCTCCAACAGAATGAGCTAAAATCATGGGTCCTCTGGCCAACTCATTAAAAATAAAACAACGCTGCAACACTTCATGTTGGACTTGATTCAACAAAGTTATGCTATCTTCCAAATTGTTTCCGTGAGCAATCATGTGCCTTATATCACCTGAAAACAACGTTAAGATTGTTGACTGAAACATATAGTGTTACAACTGGGTAATAGAAAAATATGTCTGTCAATTTGGTATCCTTACAGGGTGAGATCACTCTAAAAACACCATACAATCGTATCATTATTTGATGGCTTTATATTAAACAACATACCGTTTCGATTGCTAACAAAATGAAAAAAAGTGTGTTTTGCTGCCCCAAAAGTACCTTTAATAATTTGCTGCAATTGTAAAAAGAGGCTTGCAGCAGGAGTAAAACTAGATGCATTCAAATCATTTAACACCACATAGGCCTACACAAAGGTGCTAAGAAAAACCTGGGGTCAGATCTGGAAAGAATGAACTGAAAACTCAACAATAGTATACTTTGTAACAGATAATAAGGGCATTACATTTGCATTGTATGTGCCACTTTTTCCATTCACTGCAAAAACAATTTCAGCCTTTTTAATCTCTCCCTGCATCCATGTGGTCAATACATAGTACTGCAGTTTTAGCTATTTATGCTGTTGCTATGGTAATGAGCACCACGCTGGAGATGAGGAAAATACAAAAACAATCTGATGGTTAATTCATAGACCCTCATCTGAACACAGCAGAGAGAACACATACACAGTCTTTAGCTATTCTGAATTACCATTGAAAAGGCTAACAGAAAACAAACCACCAATAAATACATTAAAAAAACACAACTTTATGCAAAAATCCCAAATCTGCCTTCCTTAAAAGGTAGGTTAGGTAAGAATGGAGAAACCAGCTCGAGTAAACTAGAATTTGAGCACAACCGAAAAATATCTGCACCTTCCTTCAAACTTCCTTACAGAGCCTCTCCTCCAACACACACGAACCCGCACATGACCAATGAGGGCACGAGATAAATGTGTGCACGAGATGGAAGGCTGACAGGCAGGTAGGCCATCCAATTATCTGCCGCGGGCCGAGGCAGACAATTGGACTTGCTTTTTACAGCGCCACGGCTTCCACAGATGAAATATTTGTATATATTTATTGTCAAAGCATATCATTTATTCATTTCTATCGGGATGTTAAGGGCATTCCATGGAATATAACAAAAAGTGTTTCTGAAGTGAATTACCTACCCTACCTTTAAGTGCCTCTTCTACTATGGTATGACAATTATAGGCCTACTAATAATCATAAAAATGTTTCCAGAGGGATTTAGAAAGTAGATGTGGTATTTCACAATCGTTGTAATTATAAAAAGTGTGAAATTACATTTAAAAACAAAACTAGAGTTTTCAATTGTTTTTAGGGCCCAAGCTTACAAAATATGACCGAGAGGGACCCCTCATGTCTGTCCCTTAGAACAACTTGAAATAGTCTATTTTTAACACTTTTCCAAAAAAATCAGAAGTGCATTTCAAAACATAATCATGGCCTACAAATCACACACATTTTATAAAATGTATAGCATTGATTGTAATGTAAAATTGAAGAATCAAGTTATCATGTATAATTACAGACCTGAATAAGGGGTATTCAATGAATACATTTTCCTTTCCACAAGTGGCTCAATTTGAGGAAACAAATTTAAGCTTTACTATATCAAATAAAAACAGACTACACTTAAAAGGTCGCTGAGTCCAATCCGGGTAATGTAACCTGTCAGCCAGCTCTCTCTAACCGGGCATGTGATGTGTGATTCTGGGGGAGTGTGGACCGTAGGTCGGCCCTTTTGGCTCCAGCTCCAGCCCGGTGCGCCTGCCCTGCACAGTCAGCGCCACTGGGTGCAGGGATATCCCGATGAAGGGGGAGACTGTTCGGGGTAAGTGTGACATCTCTACCGGCAAACTCCGCTGCGTATTTTAAACATTTCATATCTGCAGCCAATCTGTATAAGCCTATTGTGGACACACAACAGCTGCCACAGGGAACAGCTTTGCGTTTGTGTGTTTAGTGACAGAGTCTGGCCAGAGGCCCGGTGACCCACATTATTATCTAACGTTGCATGTTAGCTAGCTAGCTCCAGCTAAAAGTGGGTTAGAGTATGTTGTTGCAGACGAGTTGGAATTAAGCCCGCTACGTTACACCTGATAACGGAGAAAAACTGCGGCTATCCAATGTGTCACGGATACAGGTGCCATGTCAGTGTGTGTCTCATGTCGCAGTAAGTTTTTTCAAATGTATTAAGCTGTTGTTATGTTTCTGTAATAAACGTAAGTCAGAATGCTAGGCGGAGTTAGCTTTCTAGCAATCACTGCCCGGTTTACCGACCGGTGTTACCTGGCAGCAGCGGTGCGGTAGACGTGCTGAACCCAAGTATGTCACTTCAAGGCTGGCTTTAGTTCAGGTGACTTTACATACTGGAAAACCGTTCACATCTCACCGGCAAAAGATTTTTCCACATCTAATGCCTTTTTTGAACGTTTTCCCCCCGATGTTAATTACAAACTCTGTGGCAGCTGCGTTTCTCTCAAACCAAGTCTGGTTTCGCATGGATCTATTTTGCTGCTTCCCATTCAACGGACATGAAATCAATCACAATGTCACTAAATCCACTCTGTCGCTGATCTACATGTCAGGCAGTGAGCGGAAATGTTCCTGGATCATACCTGTGAACATGACAGGAAATAGATGGTTATGCAGCCTGATTTATTGGTTTTATTTCTGAACCTGCAGCCTCTTGTGTATGAAAAATAATGGATGCTTCTTGTCTCCCTAAATTGTCAGTAAAATAGGTGTACAGGACAATATTTTGTTTATTTTCAATTATTTGTCACAGTCATTTATTGAAACTTGAGATGTTGAATGTCTAGTTTTGTGTCAAATAAATTATGTTTATAACTCACTCGAGACATCAACTTTATTGCTCTCTATGGGTAAATTAAAGCAAGTACTAGGGAAAAGTTTATTCTGACACTCTTATACATTATAAAATAGCTTGAATTATAGCACTTGAAGTCCACTTTATGCAGCCATTTCTCATGTACACAGTGTGTGATGTGGGACATTACATTATGCAATGATATTTGAATGAAGGTTTCAATTAAGCTATATCCACAGCAACACTGTTGTTACAGCTTGTTGTGAGTCTGTTTGTCGTCATGGCAAACTATTCTCAAAGACACTTACAAACCCAGTGGAGGTTTTAAGCTAAAAGTGTGTAGGCCTATTTGGGAAATAATTGTTTTTCATTTAATTTAATTTCAAACCTTTATTTAATCAGATTGGTCCCTTGAGATCATAGATCTCTTTTTCAAGGGAGACCTGCATTTGCTGTTAAGTATTTTATGACTATTATACCTCATTCTTTCAAAGTGGCCATAATAATACCTTGCAGGCATTTTTTATTTGGTGATACCTTATTATTGCTCAGAGTTGTTGTTGCTAATAGTGCTCATGTAGAAATAGTTTGACACCTTTTTATGTAGCTGGCAGCCTGACACTGGGGCTGGCTGCAGGTCAGGAGAAGAAAGTGTTTGGCAGACTGTTACCACTAAATGTTTCATTGTAGCTTGCTAGAAAATAATATGCAGATTACCGAATAACAATCAGCCCATACTCTACTATAGACTGTCTATACAATAACAATTTCTAGTCAGTTTGGAGACCTGTTCATGAATGCTGAAGATTGGCAATTAGCAGCCGTTTTAAATTGCAATGAGACATTTCATGTGCTGCAACATCCACAATTCAAATTCCAGATTTACAAGCAGAAGGCTATCACACTTTATAACCCTTGAAATCCTGTTTTTCTAATATAGACCACAGGATTTGTAGCTACATTCTGCAAAGGCCGGCTATCATGAGGTTAAGGACTCTGTGCTTTGCCAGACGTGACCCTGACTCTGAAGTCATCTGGACTCTTTTGCAGTTGAATCCCTGTTTCTTATCGTATGATGCGTCACACACATGAGGTCGTTATTGAATGCAGAATATGTTCATAAGTTGGTCCTTTCTCAACAGTGAGTCTTTATTTCTGCCTTCACCTTATAATGTAATATTAAAGTCATATAAGGTCAAAACATCCTTTTCCAAGTACTTTTTGTTAAATATGACTATCAGATTAACTACATTTAGCATTTTTCTTCCTCTTATTACATGGCCTAGTTGAATACACAATTCTGATTGGTCAATTCGGAACACGTGACACGTTGTTAATCCAGAACAGACAGACCGCTGTCAAGGATTTATTGACCGTTGTTAAGGACGCTCACATCTGCACAAAGAAGTCTGTTCGATTTAACTGTATACAGTTTGGCTGAAAAGCAAACTGCATGCAGCCCTCATCGGGA